GTTTTCCAACAATCTGTATAAAATATAGCATGAAACTGAGGGCGGCATTTAATGATATTTTTGCTTGTCCCTGCGGCGTTTATTTGAGGGAGGCGTTTATCGAGTAATTACGGTAATATATATCACCATTTAGCCGCAAAAGGGCGAAACAGCTATCCGCAGATGCTAATAGTGCTGGACACGAGTCATAGTCCATTCGTGGCCTTTGCGCAGCTTCAAAACTGTGAAATGCAGTGCGTTTAGAAAGCATGGGATTCATGCAAACCCACAAATTAACCTTAAAGCTTTCGTGGCTCATGCCACGAAAGCTTAATGCCCTAAAACAGAAAACGCATTTGCGCAACAATCAACAAATTACTTACCTCTACAGGTTTGAAACTTTTTATTTCCTCACTTGAGTTTTCATGTACTCCTTGCATAGACTGTATACAAACTGCGGCAGAAACATGTCCTTTGACTGGGCAATCCACAGCGGTGGGAATTTTGCAGTGAGGCAGTTACTATCGTTGTGTTGTTACCAAGCTGCCGGTTGGTTAAAAAAAATTGCCTAGAAAACAGTCATTAAAAGAACCGAATTATTAATAACCAATAAGTAATATTTATTTCCTAGAAATTGAAAATTCTGGTTTATGGAATTTGCCCGTGATTCTATTCCAAGCAAGTTAGTGATTCATGCTTCCCCCTGTTTCACAAAGTACTTGCAGCAGATATTTGTAAAATACTCTATAAAAATCAACATGCACGTAAGCTATTTGTAAACTCAAATGACTAAATAAACATTTATTTTCGAAGACCGATCGAATTGAGTCGTATATGAACTTGAAGTCGGATCTTGAAATTGCCGAGTTTTAGCTTTTGTTAGCGATTTTTGCACATTTGTAGTAGGTAATCATACATTTATATCTATCAATTTTTTAAATTTCTATACTGTTATGGTGATTACAGTGGAATTGCGGTGCCCACGCCAAATTCGGGACCGCATTATATTCTGCCTGTGAGTTTGCTTGTTAGTTCGCATCAAACACGGACGTGAATATTCTTGATCGTTAGTTTTCTGACAACTATGATTGAAACGGTGAACGCCGGTAAGACGCAGGCTATGGTAATGAGCAATCTTCCCTGCAATCTTTCCTGCAAGCTGATTGGCTGTAGCAGGGGGTGGAATTTTACGATATCTGACCACTGTCCGGAATCCTATATTTTATGAGTCTGACTACGATACGACCGAACGCCGCTTTTTGTAAAAAAATAAATACGTTATTTACCGTTTTGGTTCTTCCGGATAGAAAAATATTTCCCTATTTCCCTGAAAAATATTTTTCTATCCGAACCTCGCAGCCGGTAAATAACATATATATCTTCACGCGACAGTGTAATATGCTATGTATTATTACAGAGTAAATCTAGATACAGAGTTGGAACTACACGTTGTAAACACTGCCGAAAATTATGTTATTCTGTACCCAGCTTTCTTTAAAGCCGACGATAAAAAATTGATAAACTGCAGGTGCTCGGCAAGTTACGCGAGCAGTTTTATCCAATGGGTTTGCATTGAATGCATCTGGTAACTTGCTGAGCATGCGCACAAAAAACGTGGACGCACTAGTCGTGGTGAGAACTATATTTTTCTCATTTTCTGCGCTCATGCGTAACATTTTTACTCACCACTCGAAGAAAAAATCACCGCCTAATATCCTCTATTATTAATTTAAACATAACAAAAAGCTTGCCAGTCTTCAATTTTTATACTTTTCATGATATTTAAGTGCTGTTTTAATACGCACCGAAACAACAAAATTACGTTTGAGTGGCAGTGTTTATTTTAACAAAATATACATAGCTAGCTGCCGGTTAGGTGGGTGCAGAAAAAAATTAACAACACATCTTACCTTGACGATCTGTCATTATCTGCCGATATAAATGGATCCCTCACTGCTAAAATTATACGGATGATGTACCCTATAACACTCCCTTCTCCATCCCCAACATACCCATCGACTTTTACGTCGAAATTTGTTATCTCTTCAAACCCATTTGTACGTTCATATCCAAGAACACCGTTCTTAGATATAAGCTTATTGGGATCTACCTCTTCACAAGCCGCTTCGACTTCATCAACAGGCTCCATTTGGCATTGACATCAACAAGAAACAAGTATTTTATTTTTAGCAAAGCTCAGAGACATGTGCTCATAATCATATACACAGATATGAAACTGAAGCCAAATTGAGTCACATGGTTTTTTGCCTAATGTGCGCGTGCGTAATTTCCTTGGCATGTGTCATGTTGAAATTTAATGAGTAAATCAGTAGAAAAATCGTTTGATGATGTATTTCTTTTGAATTATTCTTCATGAAGTATTAGGATACTAACATAAATGTTTAATTATGTTCAGTGACTGTCTAGTGATGCCTACTGATGTCTTGTTCTGTTTAGTGATGTCTAGTGATGGATTATAATGCCTTGTGATGTCTAGTGATGTTCAGTGATTCCGAGTGATGTTCACTAATGTCTAGTAATGCTTAGTTATGTCTAGTGATGTCCAGTGACGTCTAGTGATGTTTGGTGAGGTCTAGTGATGCATAATTATGTCTAGTGATGTCCAGTGATGCCTGGTGATGTATAATGATGTCTATCGATGCTTAGTGATGTCTATTGATGCTTGGTGATGTCCAGTGATGTATAATGATGTCCAGCGATGTCCAGTGATGTATAATGATGTCTATTGATGCTTAGTGATGTCCAGTGATATACAATGATGTCTATTGATGCTTAGTGATGTCTAGTGATGTATAATGATGTCCAGCGATGTTCAGTGATGTATAATGATGTCTATTGATGCTTAGTGATGTCCAGTGATGTATAATGATGTCCAGCGATGTCTAGTGATGTATAATGATGTCTATTGATGCTTAGTGATGTCCAGTGATGTATAATGATGTCTAGTGATGTATAATGATGTCTAGTGATATATGATGATGTCCAGCGATGTCCAGTGATGTATAACGATGTCCAGCGATGTCTAGTGATGTATAATGATGTCTATTGATGCTTGGTGATGTCTAGTGATGTATAAAGATGTCTAGTGATGTATAATGATGTCCAGTGATGTCTAGTGTTGTATAATGATGTCCAGTGATGTATAATGATGTCCAGTGATGTATAATGATGTCCAGCGATGCCTAGTGATGTATAATGATGTCTATTGATGCTTAGTGATGTCCAGTGATGTATAATGATGTCCAGCGATGTCTAGTGATGTATAATGATGTCTAGTGATGTATAATGATGTCCAGTGATGTATAATGATGTCCAGTGATGTATAATGATGTCTATTGATGCTTGGTGATGTCCAGTGATGTATAATGATGTCTAGTGATGTATAATGATGTCTAGTGATGTATAATGATGTCTATTGATGCTTAGTGATGTCCAGTGATGTATAATGATGTCCAGCGATGTCTAGTGATGTATAATGATGTCTATTGATGCTTGGTGATGTCCAGTGATGTATAATGATGTCTAGTGATGTCCAGTGATGTATAATGATGTTTAGTGATGTATAATGATGTCTATTGATGTTGAGTGATGTATAATGATGTTTATTGATGCTTGGTGATGTCTAGTGATGTATAATGATGTCCAGTGATGTCTAGTGATGTATAATGATGTCTAGTGATGTATAGTGATGTCTAGTGATGTATAATGATGTCCAGTGATGTATAATGATGTCCAGCGATGTCTAGTGATGTATAATGGTGTCTATTGATGCTTAGTGATATCCAGTGATGTATAATGATGTCTAGTGATGTATAATGATGTCTAGTGATGTATGATGATGTCCAGCGATGTCCAGTGATGTATAACGATGTCCAGCGATGTCTAGTGATGTATAATGATGTCTATTGATGCTTGGTGATGTCTAGTGATGTATAATGATGTCCAATGATGTATAATGATGTCCAATGATGTCTAGTGATGTATAATGATGTCTAGTGATGTATAGTGATGTCTAGTGATGTATAATGATGTCCAGTGATGTATAATGATGTCCAGTGATGTATAATGATGTCCAGCGATGTCTAGTGATGTATAATGATGTCTATTGATGCTTGGTGATGTCTAGTGATGTATAGATGTCTAGTGATGTATAATGATGTCTAGTGATGTATAATGATGTCCAGTGATGTATAATGATGTCCAGTGATGTATAATGATGTTCAGTGATGTATAATGATGTCTAGTGATGTATAATGATGTCCAGTGATGTATAACGATGTCCAGCGATTTCTAGTGATGTATAATGATGTCTATTGATGCTTAGTGATGTCCAGTGATGTATAATGATGTCCAGCGATGTCTAGTGATGTATAATGATGTCTATTGATGCTTGGTGATGTCTAGTGATGTATAAAGATGTCTAGTGATGTATAATGATGTCCAGTGATGTCTAGTGATGTATAATGATGTCTAGTGATGTATAGTGATGTCTAGTGATGTATAATGATGTCCAGTGATGTATAATGATGTCCAGTGATGTATAATGATGTCCAGTGATGTATAATGATGTCCAGTGATGTATAATGATGTCCAGTGATGTATAATGATGTCTAGTGATGTATAATGATGTCTATTGATGCTTAGTGATGTCCAGTGATGTATAATGATGTCCAGCGATGTCTAGTGATGTATAATGATGTCTAGTGATGTATAATGATGTCCAGTGATGTATAACGATGTCCAGTGATGTATAATGATGTCTAGTGATGTATAATGATGTCCAGCGATGTCCAGTGATGTATAATGATGTCCATTGATGTATAATGATGTCCAGTGATATGCAATGATGTCTAGCAATGCCTAGTTGCGTGTAAGGATGTATATTGATATGTTATGATGGGTATCTATGATGAATTATGGCTATTGATGTATATATGCCAGCTAAAACAAGTGCGATTTTACTATTGGTGTATACTGGACATAAACTTATTACCCTTTGCGCGGTAAAATTTAATATGGCCGCCAGTGTTGGAAACGTTGAAAAAGATGAAAATAAATTGTGAATAGTGTGCAATTCCTTAAGCTAAAATGATAAGGTAAAATTGTGTTCCACGATATGTAACATGTAACAACAGTATACGTAATTATAGCCTTCTGGAAATGGTTTTTAGATTTTCAAACAAGTTTAGAGAAGATTTGGAACTTATATATGCCAAGGTTACTGCATAACAATATTTTTATTTTAACAAGATATAAACAATTTTGAATTCGTTTGCCAATTGCTTTCACCTAGAAAGGTAACATAACATGATATGTACAAATTAAATGGTTATTTTATTAGTACACCAATCCATTTGATGGTGCACCTGAGTTAACATTGAGCACTTGTGAGCTACCAGAAAATGTACAGTTAATAGGTAAGTGTTTATGCTTCCTAATGGTTCACATATCGTGGGCAATATATATCAATACTATCAATACTTGGTATTGGGATTGCCCATCCATAGCTGCAATTCCATTCAATTTATTCAAGAAAATTATTCAAAATGTGGCAAGTGGACTGTATTAGAAGGTTCTTCAAGAGATATGTATGCAGATGACAGTTCTGATGAAAGCAATGTTGACACATCAGATGAAGAAGGGCAATCAAGGTTTGTTGTGACTATTTTCATGTTATTAACCTTTTTGATGCACACTTTTTATGACATTAATAAATATGAAATATTTTGTTATTTTAGTTGCTATGATTCTGATGAGCAAAACAGTTCAAATTGCAGTCCTTCATTTGAGACATTATTCAGAGATAAATACCCAAGATCATGTGTAAAGAGGGCCTCAGAATCTCCATCAATGGACTGGACGTCAACGCAATCAACATGCAGGAAATCAACAATAAGCAATAATGTATTAGCTAAACCATGTGCTGCTTACGATATTGATGAACAATGTAAACCCCAAGAAAGTTACACTTCCTAAGGATTTGTGGTCTCAGGTTCAACAATGTCTACATCTAATGACAAGTGTATTTAGTCGATTAAAGACTGAATGTGGTGAGGAAAATGATGGCAATGGAAGTCCATCTCAAAGAAGGCAAGTTTGGTTGAAAAATCTTGTGTGAAGCAAAGACTATTTGATGATTGCAAAGTATCTGATTTCCAAAGGGCAATCTGTAGAGAAACTATTTGTTAGACAGAAAGGATCAAAGGGACCAGGCATTGAGCTTGCATCAAGAAAGAGATTTCTTCATGATTCCGGATGTACAATTGCAGAAATTGAAAATTTTGATTCTGGTTTTAGTCAAGAGAATAGCAGTGATGATTTCATTTCAGCATCATGCAAAACCACAGTGTCAGAAACTAGTAATGGGAGTTGTTGTGAATCACTTTATCGAAAAAGAGGTTTTGTAAAAGAATCTACTGCTGACTATTGTCCGAAATCCACCAGAGGTGATTTATCGTGTCACAAATATCTCACCAGAACCATAACAAGGTTACACAAGGATTGTCTGTGAAAAAAACATCGCAGATATCGTCTTGTGAGAAGAAGATCAAATAAAGCCAAATCAACAAGTAATGATACCAAAGAAATGAATGAATGTACTAAAGAGACATGATGCTGTGAGAAATGAACATTCATTTGATCAATGTCTTAGTGATACAGAAGACTTTCACATATCTAAGAGTGGAAAAAAGAAGATTGTGGAATGTAAGCAACAAAGTGAATTCAGTAGTTCACCCGAAATGCATGAAGTTATACTGGTTTCTGCTCCATCAACACCAGTCATTCAGAAGTCGTTGGATTGTCCTCAAGAAATGTCTAAAAACACCACCCCCCCTCCCCAGTACCGACGTTCATCCACCCACGCAGGGTTCCTGGAAGCCAAACTTCGCTATACACTGAGTTAAACATAAAGGAACGTTGTTCTTCCACTCCACGTAAACATATCCAGATAAACGGAAGAGGTAAAAAACTCCTAAACCATAACGAGTGTCTGAAACAACTTGAATTTCCCACTCCATGTAGTTTACCGGCAGATTCGATGCCTAGTCCGATCAGGTCCACTGCAAATAACAAACATTTGAATGGAACGTCATCAAGCCCTAAATCGGAATGTACGAAAGATTCCTTGGTGAAGTCAATCAGCACACAATCGCCAAGTTCTATTCTAATACCCGAGATTTCAGTGAATTTCTTAGGACCCAAAGAAATTGTTGAGAGAAGTAGCCTGGTTAAGGACAATACAAATAAACATAAATCGCGTTTACTCGAAATAAAGATATCACTGGTGCCCCGCCACGCCCGCCATGCCACATCCCAATTGATCGTTCAAAACAAAAACACTTGTCACACATACCTTGCAATGATGAAGATGGAAACTTTTCTTAAAAGGCACAGCCAGTTTATATCCCACCTCAACTCCTGGAGTTGAGCCAAGTAAAAGAAGAGAACAATGTTATAGAGATGATGCCCGTGTTAAATTCAACTCCGAGATAAGAACAAGTGGCAAAACGACCGCTAATTTCAAGAGGTCTATGACAACGATAGATGGACCCAAGTTGATGGGTGTCCTTCTGACAGTTATCAACAGCTACCACGCCTAAAAATTACCCCACGTCGCCGAACATTTCATCCCTATGCCACTGCGAATAAGTTTCCAAAAAACACCATCACCAACTGTCAGGTCATCACTGATTTCACCATTACGAGATCTTACAATCAAAACACCATCATCGTCTTCTTACAAGTGGACTACACTTGATCGTAGCCCCATGGCTATTGTGTTAAAGAAGCTCGAAGAATGTCTGATCCAGTCGTAGCATCCCGGAAGATATTAAAGTTTGGTTCACACGATGCGCAAAGTGATAGATTTAATCCAGACAGAGAAGAAAAAGTGACTCGGCATGATTTTCAATCATATCCGAGATGCAGTGAAAGTAGCTCACAAAGCGTCCCAGGAAGTTACTGTTGAGGAAAGGTATAATGACAGATTCTAGTTGTGAAGGGGATGACTCTCGTTCGAACTGCCTTAATGGAAAATGTACAAAGACTTTCTGCTTTAACTGTTCCATGGAATTGTCGTAATTATTTTGGCTGCTGTAAGATCAAATAGTAATCTTAGTACATTTTTTAAAATGTAGATTTCATAAATGTTTATACTTGTTGTGCGTTTAATAAAATGTTATTACTTTCACTTCGTGTCTATCGCTAACTTTTACCTTCGGCTTCGGATTTCTATTATATTGTTTGATGTCTGAACCGGAACAATTATATAATATAAAAAGATATTTACAGACAACAATAGTTTCAAGTTAACCGTCGATCAACGTGATATTTTCTTCACAAATTGTCTTTTAAATTTAAATTTGGCGTAGCAACTATATAAGTAAACAAGAACTTCACAAATGAGGGTGAAAAGATTCTGACATGTTTTAGCCGTTGGTAAAATGCCAAGTTCGCTTGACCATATGGCTTGACGTTTTAATGCGATTATGACTTATGTTGAATGGCGGAGCAGCTACCGGGCATCACCTCACCTGAGTATTCACTGCTTGATTTTGATAGTTTAATCGTTGTTATTGAACAGTTGCGCTGCATGGTTGTATGCGAAATAAGACGTTAAGTACTATTCCATGTGGATTATAAGTTTTCTGTGAAAGAGGCCTCTGATTTGGTTTTTGATCACTTTTTTTGACTGACCGTGACGTATTCACCGAAGTTGGCTTGCCAAGACAGGAAATTAAGCCATCAAAAAATCCCATATTCGGCAAGGAAGGTTAAACTTGTACTCTTGATCAAGGAACAATAACAAAATATTGTGAAAGATATACTCCTATAGCACAGCATCCCATTCTTGTCCCATATAATCAACGGTTTATTTGATTTACAATTTTTGCGCTATTTTTACTTGTAATTTCAAGTGACACTCTTTAATATAATTACCAGCTATATATACGCGGCGAAATTCTAAATTTTCTTGCACAGCTTGTAAAAGAACGGCAAAATAGAAAGTTTGCAATTATTGCTACTATTTAAAAATTGTCCATAAGCAGGATAATCTCCTCTAGCTGCGTGTGGTAGCCAGACATCCTGACTGCCAGCGGCGTCGTCATTCGAAAAAGAATCAAGGTCATGATCTTGCCCTGACTTCACACTATAGCATTCTTAGTTCAATACAATTGCAGTAGCCGAAGTACAATAGCCAAAAGATGTTCCGTTCATTATATATTTTTTCTCTTGTGCGATGAATGATCAGGTACTAGGTAGCTATTATTGGCAATTGGCAGGTGCGCTTATATTATTCGTTTGGTGTTTTTCCTCATTTATGTCAATGAGATTGTATCCATCTTTTCTGCTGTATTGTAGCTTGATATTACAGTCAGCTTCCTGTTAACAATCTAATTATATAGAAGAATAACCCATATCCATATTAGGTAAAGTTTTATCAAGTACATATGAAGTATACAACTCCGCAATGATATATGATTGATATCACATGAAAAATATTATTTTGACAAACATTACAAATGTAGATACTAGATAATGTCTTCGGGGTTATTTATAATAAAGCCTTTCTAACAAATGGTAACAATTGTCAACTGAGAAGAAGTCGAAATCCTTTTGTTTTACAAAATACAAAACAAACAACTTATAAAGCTATAATATTTGCTCCGCAACACTTGAAACATCTGTCACATGGAAGGTCAATGTAGGCCAACATTGTATTGCCTCCAAATTGGCTGAAATTTTATCTCATTGTTTACACAATCTTTTTATTTGAATATTAAGTATTAGAAATTTGAGTCCAGAGAAACAAAATATGGTCCGGTCCAGTCCATATTTTGTACTATGCCGAAATCTTCATTGGGAAGTTGTACGCAATCCTGAATCACTCATTTTCAGATATAGCAGAAATTGATCAGATAGATTTTCAGAGAGGCCGTGTGAGGCATAGCCATAGCTACTGAATACGTGCACATTTGATTGTGGTGCATGGAACAGTCAGCGGATGTGAAAAGGTGCATCTCCTTCTGACGTACTTTGCGTTGCATGCATGCAAGTGTTGAATAATAAACGCCCTTAATTAACTCTAAGAGGCGGAATACGATCGCTTCCGATCATTTTACCTTGCATGAGTATAAAAAGGAGCGTCATTTAAAGATGAACCAAGATAACACAGAGTAATATACTGAACATCCCTCGAAAAATTAGAAACTACTAAAGGTTAGTATTGATAATATTATTGTTATTACTGTTTTAAGACAATGTGAACCCAGATTTAGCCATGAAATGCAGTATCGCAATAGTGATGAACAGACCAAGTCATATGTTGATGACTGCATGATAGACTATAGATTACTAGGCTGTTCCGACATTCAAACTATAGAAATATACTGAACTTTAAATTACTTTTCGTTTTAAAGATAAATTTATTGTCATTTCAAAAAGTCGCCAGTGGCACATGGACTCCTTTCTGCTACATCTTGGGTCTGCGGTAAGTCATTCACGTGATTACCACCACACATTAGTTGTTTTGTTATTGAGACGTTGTGTGAATTCAGGCGATGTAAAATGAGACAGTCTAACAGCCTTTGTTTAATAGATTTATCTTTTAAACACCAAAACACGCATCTCGCACGAGTATCAAGATTTAATTCCCTATATCCGACTAATTTCATTCAGTCTGCATACACGAAGAAAGTTCTTTTGATCGCAAGATCGGATATTAGTCTAATTATTTACCACGGAATAGAACTTTCTGGGGCAAGAACTATTTATTATTCAATCAGGTCTTGGTCCAATTGTTTGTCAATACAATTGATAACTATAAGCCATTGGTAACTATGAATTATTACACCGCTAATTAAGATAATATATTAATTATAAATATTATATTGATATTTGTAGATGCGGAATTTGTTCCTGCTGCTTATTTGTTTTATAGCAGTTCATTCAGAATCAAACCCTCCGAGACCTCCATCTGTTCCTATTGGGCCTTTTGCTGACTATAGTAAGACATATTAATGACTTAGAAGAAGTTGATCTGCCACGCAATCTTTTTAAAGTCGATAGGACAAGATAGACAAGATTTCCTAAATTTTATAAAATTTCTATAATTGATCAGCCGATCCAAGAGTGAGTCCACTTGGAGATGACCAAGAAAATGATTTCGAAGGAAAGAAACTATTTCAAGGAGATATTAGAAATCCAGGACAAATATCGAATGGAAAGGTTGGAGAGGCGGGAACACGAACACCATGGCCCAACGGAATCATTCCTTATGTTTTTGATTGCAGTGTTTGTAAGTAACCGTTTTATGTGATGAAGTTTATATTTCTTGCTAAGATTGATATGTGTACACAAAATCAACCAGCAAAGGTGTACGACTTTATTTGTTTTCATTTTTATTTGTCTGTTTTCCAGTAAGTATTGAGAGCGCTGTTAGGGCAACGAAAGATGCAATGGAGGAATGGCAATCCAGAACTTGCGTGAAGTTCGTGAAGAAGCAACCACATCATACAGTATATGTCGAATTTATCCGAGCTGCTGGGTTAGAATTTTTATATCTTTATTAGTTTTCTACTCGTTATATATTTTATTTGTAATTATTTACCCACATTTTTAGATGCTGGGCAACATACGTTGGTTTCAAAAATAAAAAAACGCAGATATCCATTGGTAATGGTTGTGATTATAAACACGTCATGGTTCATGAGTTGGGTCACGTTATTGGATTTTGGCACGAACAAAGTAGGCCTGATCGGGATCGCTATATCACACTTGACAGAGGCAATGTTCATCGAAGTAAGTTTCAGATAAAGGACAAGGCTTTGATCCAATACATTTAAAACGTTCTCTGTTTAGCGACACATCTTGAATACTGTCAATGATATAACAACAATATTTTCTATCTTTTGAACGAATCTTAGTACTAGCACTGTACTAAAAACCATCACCGGTTGACAATGTTTAAAAAACATATTTCTTGAAGGTCAATATATGATTTCTATTCTGTCTAAATATAACTTTAAAATAAAGTTGAAAACTTACAATCAGAACACGTGTCATGTTTGAATCATATATTGAAACTCAAGTCAAGATGCCCTGTCTTTTTGGAATTGGTTTTTCTCTTCACTTAGTGTACTGCATTATCGCTGTGATATGTACATATATTCTATTCTTCGTATTTTAGATCTTTTGTACAACTTTGATATTGTTAAGGAACAAACGAACAACTATGGTGAAGCTTACGACTTCGATTCTATAATGCATTATCCCTGGAATGCTTTCGCGATCGACAGACGACGAAATACTATTTTCCCCAGAGACTCAAGAGTCTTGAATTCTAAAAGGCCTTATGTAAAACTAAGTGATTCTGATGTTCGACAAACAAACAGGATGTATGGTTGCAGCAGTGAGTGGCATTCATTATATTTCAGATATTTCATATGTCTGAAGCAGACTGATCAGTGATTATAAAAGGTGTAAAAAACTCCCTATACAGGGTGTCCCAAAAAAAAACCACTTAAATATGCAGAACATTAATACAGCTCTAAAGCGCAATAGATAAGCATCTCTGGGAATTGAAAATGGCTCTTAATCCTTCATTTACAATGCTAAAAGTCATTTTAGCTGAACTATGGTGCAAACCCGAACAATATTAATATTCTTGCATATTTTGCGTTTTTTTGGGGACACCCTGTATAATGAGTTGGGGATGAGTTAAACTTTAACAGTGCGCTTATCCGTCACTGCACCGGCACATGAAATCAGTTTATATAGTCAGCGTTGATTACTGGCATTTCTCTTGGGCCAGTTCTACGAAAATAATTTCTTTTCAGTTTTCAGTGTGACTATCTTGATACTGCATGTATACTGAATATAGCACTTTATTTACGTATTATTTATCGTTTGTGATAACTCGCTCGAATTCACGAATTCGTTCTTTCTTTTTCATCAGAAATTGGGTCTTCTCGTTATAAAACAATGAAGAAAATTGGTGAAGCAAGCACTAAAATAAACGTAGCTACTTTGAAAGGTAAATGATTGTCAGTTCAGTGTAATTTTTGCAGCCATTTTCTTCTTAATTTTGATAGATGCAAAGGAACGAATAAGTTATGAATCCTAATGTATAGAAGAGTCTCTATTGGAATTTCCGTAACATATTCCTCGTTCAAATCGCATTTAAACTCGCGTATATCGTATATATTTACTTAGTGGGAAACTGCTATTACTTTTACACTAAATAATCTTTGAAGTAAGGGAAAAGCACAACGAATTTTTATTTGAATTTGTTTGTTAAACACAGTATATATAGCAGGCGTAAATCTCCAATTTAAAAATATTTAGCTCAATGTCGAGATGGGCATGTTCACTGCGTCAGTTGGGCTAAAGCTGAATTTTGTGAATTATCACCTGATCCAATGTTATCAACTTGTCCTAAGAGTTGTGGAGTGTGTGACGAACCTTGCGTAGATGGTTTTAGGGATTGCCCAGGTTGGGCGGACTATGGTTATTGTGTCAGCAGGGTTTCAAGAATAAAAGACTTCATGTTAAACCATTGTAAATTGTCCTGTAGCATATGCACACCAGGTATCTATCTACTATTATTTTGTTAGAAACTTGTTAATTCATGTATTGTATAAAGGTTCTTCTTCAACTGCTTTTTAATATCCACATAAAATGCACGACCTGGTAACTTTTATTACAACGTTATTACTTATTTAGCAACAACAACAAAACCTCCAACAACTACCACTACTCCCCCACCTACCACAACTCCCAAACCAGCCACAAGACAACGAGTCACAAGACCACCAACCATTGAACAAATTATTACCACACCAAAATCTTCCACTAACAAGCCAGTCACAAGGAATGGAATTAGCACACCAACCAAAAAATTCACCGGTATTTTGTCCTTAATAATAATAATTTATTTACCGATACAGAAGTACCTTGGTAATTAGGGCCAGGTTCATGCGTCTAACCTAATCATGTTAATCAGCTATAATAAACTTTCTTTAAGTTCATTTGCATTTGATATGAGTTTTAACAATGTTTCAACATTATATGACGTAAAATCAGTATTATAAATATTAATATTAATATACAATAAAGTGAAACGAACTTATCCCTACATCATTAAAGGTGTGCTGTGCAAAGATCGTAGCAAATATTGCAAAGCTTGGGCAAACGATGGCCGATGTGACACGGATCGTTGGGTGTTTGACAACTGTATGCTGAGTTGCAAAAGATTTTCAATCTGTGATAGAGAAATGATCAAACCTATTGGTAAGAAAATCTTGTCTTCCTGGTGTGAATTGCGTCTACATCAGATAAAATGTGTTATCTTCCAAACCAAGAAATAGGCCTACAATAAAAAAATCGACATGATTCTCAATGCTATATTGTTGTAGGTGAATGTACTGGTGCCCTTGGAGTTCACTCAGACAAAATAATTCCGGATAACAGAATGAGTTCTAGCACTACGTTCTCACCAGGCAAAATAACATTCATATCTTCTGTAAATTACAACATATTCGTCTTATATTCACCAAAATCTTTATCCTAAATTAAGGTGGGGGGTGGTTCGCACCCGCAGCTTCTGGACGTTTGTATAAGGAAGACGATCACCAACGGAAACGTGTGGGTGCCTGGTGTCATGCTCCCTACAACAGAGAGGAGAAACATTTAACAATTGATTTTGGCAGAAGAAGGCGTATTGTAGCCTTGGCAACACAAGGACGTGATACGTATTTTGAACATACAAAATCATACAGCCTGTCCTTTAGTGATGACAGGACACAGTGGCGTGAATATCGCGAAGGAGGAAGTAAGAAAGTAAGTTATATAAAGATGTAACCGGAAAAAAAGATGAACAGCACCACTTTTGCACGCAATATGATAGCACGCTGCGTCACCTTATGCCAAGATTTGTTACAACGTAAGCAGAATCACACATATTTTGTTATGAGTGACGATGTTGTCGTAAAGAGTAAAGGATCAGCAACAGCAAAGACAGCAATTTCAGCAGATCTATCCCAAAATAATCTTGCAAGACAGACAAAATAAAAAGTGTCTGGCTGAAAACCTGACTGTGAAGTAACGAGCCGCTAAGAGAAAAACTGGAGTGTGAATACGTATCGTAAAGTTCTCTATCTGCTCACTCAGAAGTCCTAATATAAAGTACTATATAAGTTGTAGTACTAAATATATCAAAATGGTTATCTCTCTGACTCTGGGCTTTCTTACTTATATTGAAGACAAACGTGTTTTCTTACTGTGTGACGTTATTTATTTGTATAGATATTTGATGGAAACTGTGACCATGTAACACCAGTGTTGAATATTCTTGCAAGGACTCAATATGCTCGTTTCATACGTATACACCCAATCAAATTGTTTGGTGCGGCTTGTCTTCGTGTCGAGGTTTATGGTTGCTGAATTATTTTGAACTTGTTTTCTGACTGCATGAAGTGGTTCTTCAAGTTTACGATATTCCGACCGTTATTATAATAACAACCGTTATTATTGTACCGGGGATTAGATATCCGGTACAACAAATATGGCTGTAATAAAAATGTAATAAAAATATTGGCGAACTTCCATCCTATGCTTTCCTATGCTTGTATCCAACAATTTAAATGAATAATTGTTGCTATTCTATAGTGGATGTCATTGAAATTTTATAGCGATCTAAGGAAAGTGATAATAATTATTGTGATAATAATAATTTTGATAATAATACCATTTTAGTATATAAATAGAACGTATCGCCGATGATTGCTACTAACCACATTATATTTCGCTGCATTTTGGACTGGCGACGGAGGTAATTTGATATAACTTTTTTGTGCACTTTTGTTGCACTTTTTTTCAGTTTTGCTGGGGTGCCTTGCCCTTGGGCAGAAAAGGAATCGATGCCTGAAAGGTAATTTGATTTGTTTTTACATTTATATGATAATATGAGGGAATTTTAAAAGCACCAATAAAAGGCTGCCGTTACCATGGGGAGGTTTCAAAAGCAGCAAACGGCTATTTACATTTACAGTTTATGCATAATTGGGCCAATTGGAATGTGTCTGTAATATGTGTCTTAGAATTATCGTTCAAACTAATACCTGTTTTCCACTAGCGATATTTTTCGCGCGAAGCGAATTAATTCCTTTGTATTTGAGCAATTCGTTCCAGATGGTTGCAGTTGAGAGCTCTGAAACAAAAGTAAAATGTCACTTTGCTAGTGGAAAACCGGCTTAAGAGTAATATCCATTAATCGCGTCACGCAGCGGAATTTTGCTAATCACTTACAACGGACAATATAAATATGCAAAACATATTTATTTGGCTGATTTATATCCATTCTGGGCAAATCTGGTGATTATCTATTGTTGTCAATGCGTTTTCTTTGTCTTTGAAGTAATAAAAGGCGGTTGAATCTAGACGAAACTCAGTCTTTGCAGTCTCGAAAAGGAAGCATAAGTCGAAGAAGTTCAGGAAAAGTTGGAAGAGTCTTGCTTAGGTACATGGTGATAGTTGATTTGAATAGCGTGGGAAGACGTGAGCGAATGGAGTCATATTCTTTCCGATTTTTACTGCTTTATCTTGTATATTTCGATTGAAAATGTCCAATGCAAGTGAGCTGTTACTTTAGTTTAGTTTTTCCTTGCTTATTTGATTTCAGAACGAACTACGGCACCGAAAGATGGGAAAGGAGAAACGTAAAGGCTTGCTCGCAGCGAATAATAGGTATTGTTCTATTAATATATGTGTATTTTGCATTTGTGACTTGAAAAAACACGTTTGCACTTTGTTTACGGACAGTCAGGGTGGGCGAAACTAGAATAGTTTTGATATATAGAAATGAATTCGAACTTTATGACTGTAACTAACTTTCCTGGCTGGCTATTCGTTTTTCGGACAGGGTTGCCCAAAGGGAATGCTCGTTTTAAAGGGAAAGACGGATTGAAACTCAATGCCTATATAATTATTTGTATTGGTATATGATTGTACTATGCTAGACTTCCCTGTCCTTTTGTTTTACCGAAGTTCTGTTTTTGTAGAACGAAAGAATCGTAAAAAGATGTCGGACATGCCTTGGGACATTAATGCACGCAAATACAAAACTCGATTTCGACAATATGCATGAGTAAAAATTGCATGGAATTTGGCTTTTTTGACTAAGATATAAACTGAACACTCTTCTGTTTACCTCCTTAATTTTCACGTTTTCCGCCTGTGCATGATTTTTGCATGAAGTCTGGTCGTATCAAGCGCATGCGGAGTGAATACAAGTGATTCTGGGGCCCCAATCACTTGTGTTTTCTCCATCTTGACGACTATATAGTCCGGACAAAAATATCGCTCAGAGAGCGCCTAAAACATAAAAACATGAAATATGTATTTCTAGAAGGAGATGATAGTCCAGTGTTCTTGCTTTCTTGTACAAAAACGTGCATGATATTTTGCATTAAAACGTGCATGACATTTTGTATTAAAACGCGCATGACATTTTATATTAAAACGTGCATGACATTTTATATTAAAACGTGCATGACATTTTATTTTAAAACGTGCATGACATTTTGTATTCAAACGTCCATGACATTTTGTTTTAAAACGTGCATGATATTTTGTATTAAAACGTGCATGACATTTTGTTTTAAAACGTGCATGATATTTTGTATTCAAACGTGCATGACATTTTGTATTAAAACGTGCATGACATTTTGTTTTAAAACGTGCGTGACATTTTGTATTAAAACGTGCATGACATTTTGTTTTAAAACGTGCATGACATTTTGTATTAAAACGTGCATGACATTTTGTTTTAAAACGTGCATGACATTTTGTATTCGCGTGCGCAATGCGAAGGCCACGAGTGACTGAGGTTGGAGTGTTGGAGGTTAGATATAATTTATCCTGAGTGCTTTATACATAAGTGACATTTCTCTCTTGGAAATTATTCATATCATACTTTTGTTGTTAGATGATGAAGGATCGTCGCAGGATCAGGAGGATCATCGCAGCATCAGATGTTGAAGAATCGTCGCAGGATCAGATGAGATGGTATGGTATGGTATGGTATGGTATGGTATGGTATGGTATGGTATGGTATGGTATGGTATGGTATGGTATGGTATGGTATGGTATGGTATGGTATGGTATGGTATGGTATGGTATGGTATGGTATGATATGATATTGCTACCTAAGTGATATTTGTGACTTGAAAATTAATGTCATATCATTGTGATAAAGTATCGTTGCAGGATCAGATGTTGAAGGATCGTCGCAGGACAAGACGGACCGTCGCAGGATCAGATGTTGATGAATTAGATGTTGAAGGAGCGTCGCAGGATCAGTGATGAATTAGATGTTGAAGGAGCGTCGCAAGATCAGTGATGAATTAGATGTTGAAGGAGCGTCGCAGGACCAGACGGGTCGTCGCTGGATCAAGCAGAAGCTGGTTGAGGTATATACTATAGTATATTGATTAGAGTAATGCATGATTAATGCATGTTCATGCTGCATGACATTGGATCCTCCTGGTGGTTTAACCTAGTACATTCACACATCAAGTGACATTTCAATCTTTTCGACTATGCATGATAACAGGAAATTTCTCACAGCTCTTATGAGGGCATTTTTCGAGTTTTCTCGATAAAAAAATCCTAATTTTGTCACTTGTGTGAATAAGTGTGAAATCCAACGACGTAGCGTCTGCGTATGCATGATGGCTTTAAAGCGTTCAAAAGAAACTAACAAAATGCAATTTGTTAGAGAAATTATTGAATTCGTATTAGCCTAATTTTAGATTAATACGAAGGTAATCGCGAGTACTTATATGATTATATAAGTTCTCTGTTCAGCCTGTTATAATGCGTTTCGAAGGACCGTCCGTCAGTGGCAACAAAAATTATACCTTAGCATGGAATTTTGAAGTTTGAAGTGTAAAAAAAATGAGTGCTTTGCTGTTTAGACACTAGTACTCTTCTTTTTCCCTTGTTCGTATTAATTTTTTGGTTTGCAGTTGTAAGCTTTGAAAAATCCGGTTAATCCCGAACATGAAGGAAATAAACGTAATCTAATCACTTTGACTAACTTGATGAAATTTGTATAAGAGGAAAAAATATACCTCCCATATTGCATTGCATGATAACTGGACTTATAGTTGGGGTTATCTCGAGGTATAATGTTTAAACTGTAGGTTTAATATTGTATAGTACTCTCTTGCCTGAAAAGCCAACCCTTTAAAGAAAACCCTTTGCATTTTGACACACTTACTATGTTGTTTAATTTCTTACACGCCCACCGTCGAGATGCTGTTGAAGAAGAACATAACTGTTTGGAGTGGAGCAACGAAGCAAGTGAAATTCGATACATTGTTTACCAAAGGTAATTATACGTTACGAAAATTTAAAGGTAAGGGGACATTATTGATTAGCCATATTGAGTAAGTTGCATGTTCTCAGCCCGATTACGTTTATTTCCTTCATATTCGGTCAACCGTAATCCAGAACATATAAAAAAATAAAAACAGTGCATAAGGCATGTCTTAAAAAAGGGGTAGAAGAAAAGTGTTATTGTCTACATCAGTTTGATATGAAAAAGCATGCAAGTCGTGAATACGAAGTATTTTTTTATCATAATTCGGAAATAATTTTCGTTGCCATTGTCGGACAAAGCGCAGTTGAATGTCTAAGAGCATGATGTTTTGCGCGCTCTAAATATGCGCGCGCTCCGCAGGTTAGACCACCAGAAGAATCGAATTAACGAGGATCAAGAATTGCGTGGCAATTCCTGGGACTCGGTTTGAATGAGCGGAACTGAAACGATGAATTATAGATAAAAAGTGAAGTGCATGTCATTGCGAACGATTTCTAATAAAAATACCAAATTCGGACCGCCGGTCAGGTAACCTGAAATTCAGGTTACCTTTGGAGGGTTTTTCACCGGGCACTCCGGTTTCCCTCCTTTTCGTTTGGCTTTAAAAAAGAGTGTCCAGGCCTGGGGCCAAACCAAAACGTGTTCGTTGATAGTGATAAAAATGCGTTTGTGGCTTCTGGGTTCGATCCCCAGAACACTGTCGTAAAAGAATTTTAAAAAGATGGTTGTGGAATCATTACGTAATTTACGTAATAAATAGGAAATATCTGGCATTGGGATTAGCACGTAATAGGTCCTCATGGTCAGGGCCGCGGGGATAGACCACTGTCAAGGGGGAGGGCATCTCCTACTCCAAAAACCTGGGAACGAAGATGTGGGGGGGGCATCTCCTCCTCCAAGAAAATTTTGAAATTTACCAGGCCTCCTGTTTGAAAACCACGGTTTAAAACATTGTCTTTGAAGTAATAAAAGGCAGTTGAACCTACAATCTAGACGAAACTCAGTCTTTGCACTTGCAGTCTCGAAGAAGTTCGGGAAAAGTTGGAAGTCTTGCTGAGGTACGTGGTGATATTCCTGCCGATTTTTACTGCTTCATCTTGTATATTCCGGTTGAAAATGTCAAATGCAAGAGAGCGGTTACTTTAATTTAGTTTTTCCTTGCTTATTTGATTTCAGAACGAACTATGGCGCCGAAAGATGGGGAAGGAGAAACGTAAAGGCTTGCTCGCAGCGAATGTGTGTTCGTGGTAGTCCTTGGAGATAAAGATATAAGATAAAGTAGTTTTCTCTAGTTTATATCTAAGTTTATATGCGTAATTTTTTTTTCTTTTGTATTGTGCATGCTTTATAAAAAGTATAAAGACAGGTTACAGCGGCTTCTGCGCATGTGCGAGCTTTGTTTACATTTTTTGTTTTGATCCGCAATGATTCTACAACATGAAGTATAACATATATTCGCAATGATTTATTAACAAAAAAAGAGAGGAGCGACGCTTCTTTCAAAAATATTTGCGGAAAAAAACTATAGAAAAAACCAAAAAAAGCAAATACAACATTTTACGGAAACACTTTACAACAGTGGATGAAAAGCCGCTTTGAAATCGTAGATTAACAGCTGGAGCGGCGGCCGAAGTTGTCATACAAAGGCGCGAGTTCTAATCGGTTCGCTTTTGGTTTGTTTATATTTGGGACTTGATAGCCTTGGAAGTGTTAGTAATGTCTTTAATAATGAAATATACTGTGCGGTATCTTTCCGCCGTCGAAAACTCATTCATACCAGGGTGGTCACAGTCATGGCAGGAGCAATTGAAGGAAGCTTTTCGCTTGAAGATTTCGAAGCTAATGTTTTGGAAAACGCAGCGGCTATGCCTAACCGTGACAAAATCACAGTGTGCAAATGTAGAGGGCACTGTCTTCGTGAAAAAGGACGGAATTTCTGTCCGTGCAGAAGCATCAATAGCTTGTGTTCGAGCGCGTGTCATGGCGAAGACTTTGGCTGTTGCATGAACAACCGACTTGTTCAAGAAAGCGATAGTGATGAGAGTGTAAGTAAGATTATGTCATTCTTTAAATATATGGGTGGGAGAGAGCCAAGAGGGCTGGTTTCATTGTGGAAATATTTTTCCACTTTGTTTACTTTGTGATTTGCAATTATCTAGGACTCTGAGTTCACTATAGAGGAAAGTGAGAATGAGGGCGAGCAGCAGCTGCAGATTGAAAAGAGAGGACGTGGTAGGGGAAGAGGTCAGGGAAGAGGGCAAGGTACTGCTTCACAGAGACGTGGAAGGGGAGGTAGTGGAAGAGGTCGTGGAAGAGGTAGAGGTAGCGGGAGAGGGCGTTTGTTAGAAGAGCCAAATATTGCTGAAAATCAAGCAGATCATGAGCAGCATTTAGTGGTAAGATGAGCCTTTGTCAACACTTGATTTCATACAATTATTCTTAAAAGCCTTTGTGTAAAAACAATAAAACATAATACCACATGCAGCATCTTATATTTTACTCTTATGCTGATTTCAGGATCTAGTTGAGGCAATGAATATAGACAACCTGAGAAGGCTTGCTCTTGAATTGCTAAGAAGACAGCCAGCAGCATTTGCTGACATTGTTAATGGTGAGCTTGTGAGCGGAAATGAACCCCAACCACCAAACCCAGAACCTGATAATGATGCTCCAGATTGGTGCAAGTGTGGGTGCTGCATTATTATGCCCACTCAAGAAGAGAACAAATGCTGCACCCGATCAAGACGTCCTTGTATCTCAAGAACAAATCTTTTCAGTCAACTAATCCTTGATGGGAATGTTTTGGAGATCTCAATGCGATACAGAGAAGATGTTTTGGTGTTGAACAATGTCAGGAACAATGAAAACTTTCGCCATGCTGCATATAGACAGTATGTTCTATGGCAACATGGTAGATTAGGAAGAGGAAATAGGAGAGTAGTACCAAGCTGTTGTGTGGTTGCTATTCGTAACTGTTATCCTTCACCTAATGGACAGTACAGGGGATATTTGCCTGCAGTGTTTAGATAATTTAGCACTTAAAGTATAAATGGTGCCCCCAAAAAGTAGACCAAAATAAACCACAATCGATGTTTGTGGGCATAAATATGTTTTTGGTCTGATGTTATAGCAGGCCCAAAAAATATTAATGCTCAAACATAAAGTATATTATTATTATATTATATTATTTTATACAATGCAAGTGAACATTTTTAGAATTGGGCTGAGCCAGCAAGGTAATAAAATATATAGCTGGGTAAATTTTTCATTTTAGTCTTCATACATTGTACTGCTGATTTAGTTGTTGTAATTGTCCATGTGCATGATTAGCATCAACCTAAATGCTAATTTTCCAATTTCAAAGTGTTTAGTTTTTTGGGACACCCTATACATATATCATAATATTTAATAAAATTCCATTTAAGATATTATGTGTCATATTTCATTGATAATGGGCTCTTAAATTTATGGCTGTTTCGCTCTATATCAGAGCTCGTCAGCATGCCTAGGAAACACAAATGAAATGATGATAACATCAATGATTCCGACATGGACAGCCTGACCTAGGGTCTGGGGGTTTGAAATTAGAGTTTTCCTTCTCTTAGGTGAACTGCCTACCATGGCTAATGAGCTCCACCTACCCAAAGTAACTTGATTTTACACACAACCATTAAAATCTTGTTTTATGTGTGTCGACAAGTGTCTGTACTGATGGAGGAGGAACAGGGGCAATATTGGGTGCAATTTGTCTAGGATCATCACTTGAATACCAAGTCTTTTGTTTACATTCCCTTCTGATGTGATCCTCTTTATAAAAACCTTCTGCATCAGTTCAGGAATGTAACTAAATTCTTTTGGTACAAGAACACGAACACGGCACCACTGTTGTGTACGCTTACTGAACTTCCGACCGTACCTAATAAAAAAACAACTTTACAATTCCATACAATATGAGTACCATTACACTATAAGAATGCACAGGACCTGAAAAGTTGTTCACACTTAGGATGGGAACACTAAGGCAAAAATTTCAATACCAGTACCTTTCTTTCCCATCAGCTGTAGTTGCTGGTGCTCGGCCTCTGTGGTGGTTAAAGTCCAAGGCAGCAAGCTGGTTTCTAGCTTGGTATACTGAGTATCTGAAGATACAACAAACATCAACATTCTTTTATTAACAATGCTTCCTTGCATGGAAATCAACCATGATAGGAGTTTTATTAGCTGTTACCTTTGTAATAATATGTCATATACTTACGAATAGGCATGGCGCTTTGGAGCATACATCAAAATTACATTATGAAAGGACTCTAAAAATCCTGTGTGCCTAAAAAATATTTCAAACTTTGAGATGATATAACTTATCTGAAATTTTCAAATATCCAATCTCATTTGTTACCTGAAGTTAACATAATACACCAAAGTGTTTAAAAAGCGAGTGTCCAGAATGATCTTTGCCAGTGCTTTATGGGCAGAAGACTCTTTCTTAAGCCATGGCTTCTTTCTCTCACTTTCATTAAGAGGATCATGTTCACATTTTCCACCATTTACACCTTCCTCCAACACCCACTCATGCTCATCAACAACATGGTGTAAAATACCAATCCACTTATCCTATTAAAAAAATATAAAAAATACAACATAAAGTGACTACATATTAACACATGTATGTACAGTTTGCACGAACTAGATAAGTATTGCTGCAAAAACCAGTAGTACTTCAATGTGAATCTTACTTTGAGATTTTTTGAGTCATTAGCACATGTTTTTGAACAATACCAAAAATGGTTCCTTATTGATGGTGCCCACAAGGTCAAATCTGCATTGTCTTTAGATTTAGCAGCCTAAAGAATAAAATCAATTCTAAATAAAGAAAGTTTTTTAACTAATTGCTGGTTGATATCTTCAACACTTACAGTAGTGATTTTCTTTGCAATGTTCTTTGCTCCATGCCACACATCATTCTGATGTGTGACCTCCTTATATTTCTCTTCCCTTTCTAAAAAATGCAATAATGCTTAATTAATAAACAAATGCATGTTGTAAATATTCCCTTACTGTCTTTTAAAGGGTAAACACAATTAATTATATAACATTGTAATCAATCTGCAAATGAAGTTGTTAAATTATTGAAAGTCTGACAATATTGATTATAACAGGTTGAACTATTAGAGTTTCAGGAATTGCCATATTGTTATAATGTAGATACTTACTCATCAATGCAGCAATTTCAATATGACCATCAGTTACCACCTCCTTCATAACTATTGGTGATGCAAGCAGTGTGTCCATCCCTCTTTCAAACCCAATCCTCTCCATATTATTGCTCTTACCAGCAGCTTCTCTCACATCAACCACATTCATTTGCAGTATGGCACGATCATTGGTATCAGCCAAGCTGTAAGTACAATATTGTGCACTATGGCCAGGCGAGTCATTCCTTCCATCACCACTCAATATAACCTCTTTGTTCTCTCTTTCTTTCCAACATTTCTGTTTGTGTTCTTCCCAGTAGTCATTAATGGCAGGGATGATGTACAACTTCTGATACTGATTGAATAATATTGATGAGAAATACTGCAGATTACAGAAGTTGAACATCAACCCCACCTTGGCGTAGGAATTGCCAGACAACAACAAAGCAGAAGCAAGCACGAGGTTGCCTGCTCTAATCTTGTTGCAAGAGGGTTGAGCTGCCCATCTGCCTCCAACATGACCAGACCTACACCCCCAGGATACGACCAGGCATGTTCCAACATATGTTTTCTTATAGCTCAACACACGGCCACATCCTTGTCGTTTACAAACACTCCCATGTAATGATGTTATCAAAGCTATAAGAGTGTCTGTAAACACAATACACTTTTCCTTCTTGATTGCATCTTCAGGACTGACTTCTTCCACAGTAGAGATGTATTCTGGTTGAGTCGTCTTATGTTGCTGCTGTTGTTGTTGTTGGGTTCCAACATCTTCTGTGGGCTCATCTCCATCATGTCCACGGATTGTCACATTGAGCAAGTCATCCAGTAATGGCACGTCAAAACCCGGGGGACATACACTTCAGTAAAATGGCAGTAAGAGATATTATTGGACGAAATATTTTATGCCATATTCAGTGATATATAATGTGTATATTTATGTTTTAAATCAATAAGCATTACAGTAGGAATGTCACAAAGATTATTATTGAGGTTTTGCATCATCACTTACTCAAGAGAATCGTCCGACAAAACCTGGTCTGCCTGGATAGTGTGTTCACCAAAATTGTCATTATCATCATCACTTTCATCATCAGAACTATCATCTTTGGCTGTCAATGTTCGACTGTCAGAAATCACACTCTGACCCGACCTGAGATATAAACACATATTGCGTGTTTAAAAAGTAATACTCTCTGCGCGAAACTTTGCATGTATGGGTTTCAAATTATAAACTCAGTAATCACAATAAGTTTCAAATTACCTGATAGAATATGATGTTCTAACATCCGACAAAGCAGACAATGGACAGGGATTTGAGTGCGCGCTTGGCGTTGAGGTTTTAACTATAAAATATTTCATACGAATGTTTTATGCGAATATTTTAAAAAATAATAAATGTTTACGTTTTTGGAGCAGCACTTTAAAACATATGTTCTTACTGGGAGAATAAAAATATTTGGAAGGTGTCGTCTTGGCGGTATATCCGTTGATTCCATTACCGTTTCGGTTTGCGTCTCTGCATTGCTAAAGTGAGTTCAACACATACATAAAAAGCGTTATCAAGTAAACAAACAACACACAAAAAAGGTCAGAGGTTTTATCATTTTATACGTACCAAACTATACGATTCATCGCAAGATAGCTGTCAAGAAGCATGTCCGCCACATCCTTGTCTGTTCTCAATTTATGCTGCTCCTTAAACGCTCTCCATCGAGGGAAAGAACCCAACAAATACACTTTAGAGGCATCTCTACTAGCATAATATTCTTTTCTACTCGACGACATGACTCAGTGCTCTTGAAAGATTGAGAATTTCTTTCTTAAATTGTCGGCTGGTCATGGTTTTTAGACTGAACAATCCGGGGGATTATCAACTTCACGTGGAGTCCCCAGGCTAGCGCACGCGCAGAAGCCGTGTCTTTAAAACAGGCAAAAAAATAAGAAATTTCAACCGCTCTTCACCGCAATTTCCACCGCTTTTCACCGCAATTTCCACCGCTCTTCACCGCAATTTCCACCGCTCTTCACCGCAATTTCCACGGCTCTTCACCGCAATTTCCACCGCTCTTCACCGCAATTTCCTTTCGCTTCTACGCATGTGCGAGCTTTGTTTATATTTTTCGTTTTGGTGTGAATCCATTTCATTTGCACAACATGAAGTATCCAAAAAACTAAATTAAAATGGCGGACGCATCAAGAGTGAAGAGTGGAGCTTTATAAAACCATTCAACAATTGTCTTTTAAAAGACAACCAAATAAATATTTTGAAAAAGAACTACTGGAAGATATCTCCTGTAAGTTTGTCGATTTTATCTAAGTTTGAGATACTGTGTATAATTATTTTTACAGTGATTGTTGAATGATTATTAAATTTGGATAAAAGATTATACTCAGATAATGATTTTGTTAATAAAATACCTTCGTACTCTGTTCTAATATTGCAGGATTCAGATTTATGAGCAAGATAATCATGCTTCCATGGTCAAAGTAGCTCTTCTGAGTGTGTAACACACTGTTCAGTTCTGATTTTCGTACAGTTCACACACAGTTAAGTTTTGATTTTCGTACAGTTCAACACAGTTCAGTTCTGATGTTTGTACAGTTCGACACAGTTCAGTTCTGATTTTCGTACAGTTCACACAGTTCAGTTCTGATTTTCGTACAGTTCAACACAGTTCAGTTCTGATTTTCGTACAGTTCACACACAGTTCAGTTCTGATTTTTGTATAGCTCATTCACAATTCAGTTCTGATTTTCGTACAGTTCACACACAGTTCAGTTCTGATTTTTGTATAGCTCATTCTCAGTTCAGTTCTGATTTTCGTATAGTTCACACACTGTTCAGTTCTGATTTTTGTATAGTTCATTCACACTTCAGTTCTGATTTTCGTACATTTCACACACAGTTCAGTTCTGATTTTCGTACAGTTCAACACAGTTCAGTTCCGATTTTTGTACAGTTCAACACAGTTCAGTTCTGATTTTCGTACAGTTCACACAGTTCAGTTCTGATTTTTGCACAGTTCACACAGTTCAGTTCTGATTTTCGTACAGTTCACACACAGTTCAGTTCTGATTTTTTAATAGCTCATTCACAGTTCAGTTCTGATTTTCTTACAGTTCACACAGTTCAGTTCTGATTTTTGCACAGTTCACACAGTTCAGTTCTGATTTTCGTACAGTTCACACACAGTTCAGTTCTGATTTTTTAATAGCTCATTCACAGTTCAGTTCTAATTTTCGTACAGTTCACACACAGTTCAGTTCTGATTTTTGTATAGCTCATTCACAGTTCAGTTCTGATTTTCGTACAGTTCACACACAGTTCAGTTCTGATTTTTGTATAGCTCATTCACAGTTCAGTTCTGATTTTCGTACAGTTCACACAATGTTCAGTTCTGATTTTTGTATAGTTCATTCACACTTCAGTTCTGATTTTCGTACATTTCACACACAGTTCAGTTCTGATTTTTGTACAGTTCAACACAGTTCAGTTCTGATTTTCGTACAGTTCACACACAGTTCAGTTCTGATATTTGTATAGTTTTCTCACAGTTCAGTTCTGATTTTGTACAGTTCACACACAGTTCAGTTCTGATTTTTTAATAGCTCATTCACAGTTCAGTTCTGATTTTCGTACAGTTCACACACAGTTCAGTTCTGATTTTTGTATAGCTCATTCACAGTTCAGTTCTGATTTTCGTACAGTTCACACACAGTTCAGTTCTGATTTTTGTATAGCTCATTCACAGTTCAGTTCTGATTTTCGTACAGTTCACACAATGTTCAGTTCTGATTTTTATAGTTCATTCACACTTCAGTTCTGATTTTCGTACATTTCACACACAGTTCAGTTCTGATTTTTGTACAGTTCAACACAGTTCAGTTCTGATTTTCGTACAGTTCACACACAGTTCAGTTCTGATATTTGTATAGTTTTCTCACAGTTCAGTTCTGATTTTTGTACAGTTCACACACAGTTCAGTTCTGATTTTTGTATAGCTCATTCACAGTTCAGTTCTGATTTTCGTACAGTTCACACACAGTTCAGTTCTGATTTTTGTATAGCTCATTCACAGTTCAGTTCTGATTTTCGTACAGTTCACACACAGTTCAGTTCTGACTTTTGTATAGCTCATTCACAGTTCAGTTCTGATTTTCGTACAGTTCACACAATGTTCAGTTCTGATTTTTGTATAGTTCATTCACACTTCAGTTCTGATTTTCGTACATTTCACACACAGTTCAGTTCTGATTTTTGTACAGTTCAACACAGTTCAGTTCTGATTTTCGTACAGTTCACACACAGTTCAGTTCTGATATTTGTATAGTTTTCTCACAGTTCAGTTCTGATTTTTGTACAGTTCACACACAGTTCAGTTCTGATTTTTTAATAGCTCATTCACAGTTCAGTTCTGATTTTCGTACAGTTCACACACAGTTCAGTTCTGATTTTTGTATAGCTCATTCACAGTTCAGTTCTGATTTTCGTACAGTTCACACACTGTTCAGTTCTGATTTTTGTATAGTTCATTCACACTTCAGTTCTGATTTTCGTACATTTCACACACAGTTCAGTTCTGATTTTCGTATAGTTCAACACAGTTCAGTTCTGATTTTTGTACAGTTCAACACAGTTCAGTTCTGATTTTCGTACAGTTCACACACAGTTCAGTTCTGATATTTGTATAGTTTTCTCACAGTTCAGTTCTGATTTTTGTACAGTTCACACGCAGTTCAGTTCAGATTTTTTAATAGCTCATTCACAGTTCAGTTCTGATTTTCGTACAGTTCACACAGTTCAGTTCTGATTTTTGCACAGTTCACACAGTTCAGTTCTGATTTTCGTACAGTTCACACACAGTTCAGTTCTGATTTTTGTATAGCTCATTCACAGTTCAGTTCTGATTTTCGTACAGTTCACACACTGTTCAGTTCTGATTTTTGTATAGCTCATTCACAGTTCAGTTCTGATTTTCGTAAAGTTCACACACTGTTCAGTTCTGATTTTTGTATAGTTCATTCACACTTCAGTTCTGATTTTCGTACATTTCACACACAGTTCAGTTCTGATTTTCGTACAGTTCAACACAGTTCAGTTCTGATTTTCATACAGTTCACACACAGTTCAGTTCTGATTTTTGTATAGTTCATTCACAGTTCAGTTCTGATTTTCGTACAGTTCACACACAGTTCAGTTCTGATTTTTGTACAGTTCAACACAGTTCAGTTCTGATTTTGGTCAGTTCACACACAGTTCAGTTCTGATTTTCGTACAGTTCACACACTGTTCAGTTCTGAATTTCGTACAGTTCACACACAGTTCAGTTCTGATTTTTGTACAGTTTAACACAGTTCAGTTCTGATTTTCGTACAGTTCACACAAAGTTCAGTTCTGATATTTGTATAGTTCTCTCACAGTTCAATTCTGATTTTTGTACAGTTCACACACAGTTCAATTCTGAATTTCGTACAGTTCTCTCACAGTTCAATTCTGATTTTTGTACAGTTCACACACAGTTCAGTTCTAAATTTCGTACAGTTCAACACAGTTCAGTTCTGATTTTCGTACAGTTCACACACAGTTCAGTTCTGATTTTCGTACAGTTCACACACTGTTCAGTTCTGATTTTCGTACAGTTCACACACAGTTCAGTTGAACGATATTAGTCTTAGGAAGCCATTTTCAGCATCTTAAAACAGTTTTTGAACAAAGGGGTAAGCCTTACCATTTTGGTCAATTTTGACGACTTTTTCAACTTTTCAAAAAGTGTCTCAAAATGCTCTAAAATGAAAGATATTAGTCTTAGGAAGCTTTTTTTAGCATTTTAAAACAGTTTTTGAAAAGTTCAAAAAGTTGTCAAAATTGACCAAAATGGTAAGGGGTAAGCCATTTTGATTACTTTTTCAACTTTTTAAAAAGTGTCCTAAAATGCTCTAAAATGAAAGATATTAATCTTAGGAAGCTATTTTTAGCATTTTAAAACAGTTTTTGAAAAGTTGAAAAAGTCGTCAAATTGACCAAAATGGTAAGGGGTAAGCCTTACCATTTTGGTCAATTTTGACGACTTTTTGAAGGTTTAAAAAACTGTTTTAAATGCTAAAAATAGCTTCCGAAGACTAATATTTCATTTTAGAGCATATTTGGTTATTTTTGATCAATGGTTCAAAAACTGTCTTAAAATGCTAAAAATGGCTTCCAAAGACTAATATCTTCATTTTATATCATATTTGGTTGGTTTTTTTGACATTGAAAAAGTCGTCAATTTTGCCTTTAAGTATTGAAATGTATTATTTTATGGCACGTATCAACACACAATGCGGTGGCCTAGTGGTTAAGAATTGCAAGGGTAAGTGTAATTTTCCACCTAAATGCTATTTAATTTAAAATTCTTCGAATAGGATTTTAGTAAATAAAAAACAAGAACTATTGATAATGATGCTGTGGCCCAGTGTTAAGACTACGGCTACAGGTTGTGAATCTAGGTTCGAATCCTGCCTGGGAAAAGTTCGATTTTCCCACCGAAATTATTGTTTAATTTAAACTTTATCGAAAAGGATTAGGTCAAATAAAGAACAATAGCTTTCAACAAATGATGCGGTGGTTAATGGTTAGACGTTGTCGTCTCATATCGAGGACAATGCTTCAACTCCTGCAATGCAACAAAATTAGCCTAAAAAATTTCAGTGTGGACTTAGAATGTTTAAAAAGACGTTAAAATACTTCGGCCTTTGCAAAAGACAGTAAATTGGAAAAAATTTGAAATATAAAAACCAAAAAAATCTATCGCCTTCAAAAGTACCTGAAAATTGAAAGAAAAGCACAAGAAAAAAGAGTTCTAAAAACACGAATCTTCTAAAAAGCCGAAAATGAAGAATCGGCCGGGAAAAAAATTTAACAATGTCCCGCTTTTAAAAAACTCATGTTTACTTTACCTTAATTTTTTTTCACGAAAATTTGACAGGGTGATTTTCTCGAGAGTGAAAAAATTTAATTTTTTTCACTTTTTTGAAATTCTCTAAGATTTTTTTTTACGAAGATGTATTTTGTCTTGGGCTAGCTGTGTCAATCTTGGGCTACCTGTGTCTGGCTTGACACAGGTAGCCCAAGACATAATACTTTTTCGTAAAAAAAAATCTCGGAGATAAACTAGAGATATAAAAGAAAAAAATAGAAAATAAACCAGAGACCACAAGACAAAAATCAAGTTTTTTCTAAACCTTTTCAAAAAACATTTAGAAAATAACTTAGAGAAAACATTAAGAAGAAACTAGAGAAAAAAACTAAGCAGAAAAATAGAAAAAAACTAGAAAAATAGAAGAAAAAACCAGAGAAAAGAAAACTAACTAGAGGAGAAAAAAGAAAAAAAAACTAGAGAAATAGAAGAAAAAACCCGAAAAAAAACTAACTAGAAAAACAAACAAGAGAAAAACATTAAGAAAAACTAGAGAAAAACTAAGTAGAAAAATAGAAAAAAAACTCGAGAAATAGAAGAAAAAACCAGAGAAAAGAAAACTAACTAGAAAAACTAGAGAAAAGAAAAAGAAAAAACATTAGGAAAAAACTAGAGAAAAAAACTAAGTAAAAAAATAAAAAAAAACTAGAGAAAAAGAAGAAAAACAGAGAAAGAAACTATTTAGAAAACTACAGAAAAAAACTAGAGAATAAAGACAAGAGAAAATAGAAAAAAACTAGATAAATAAAAAGAAAAATAGAGAAATAGAAGAAAAAACTAGAGAAAAAAAAACTAGAGCAATCGAAGAAAATACTAACAGGTTTAACTTAGAAAAATACTAAGAGGTTTAACTTAGAATTGTCAAGTCACACAGAAGAACTTGCAAAATAAAACTAACTAGACTAACTAGAAAAAGTAGAGAAAAAAACAAGAAAAAAACATTAGGAAAAAACTAGAGAAAAAAAATAAATAGAAAAAAACTAGAGAAAAAGAAGAAAAAACCAGAGAAAAGAAAACTAATTAGAAAAACTACAGAAAAAAACTAGAGAATAAAAGACAAGAGAAAATAGAAAAAAAACTAGATAAATAAAAGAAAAAATAGAGAAATAGAAGAAAAAACTAGAGAAAAAAAAACTAGAGCAATCGAAGAAAATACTAACAGGTTTAACTTAGAAAAATACTAAAAAATATAAAGAGGTTTAATTTAGAATTGTCAAGTCACACAGAAGAACTTGCAAAATAAAAACACTAACACCATCAGACGAAAAAGGTTTATTTCTTAAACTTTACAAAGAAAAAAGATTTATAAATCCAAGTTTTGAAAATTGTCACATTATTCATAACATTTCACACTAAAAAATATTAATCAATGAAACTGGGTGCCTTTCAACTTTCTTCAACACCAAAGAAAAAAAGAATTTCATCAAAAAAATAATAAGAGAAATATTTAGAAAAAATACTAATACTAAGAAGAAATTAAAGAGAAAAGAAGTATGAGAAAAAGCCAAAAGCAACTGCTAAAATATTTCAATTGTGAAAGCACAGGGAAAAACATGCAAAATCAAAACACCAACACCACCAGACAAAAAAGGTTTACTTCTTAAACATTACAAAGAAAATTTTCTCTTTATAAATCCAAGTTTTGAAAATTGTCACATAATTGATCACATTTCACACATGTTATCACACACTAAAATGAATCTAGGATAGGGCTAAAATAATTCAGGTTCTTCTGGGGTGCCTTTCAACTTTCTTCAACTTCATTCATTCTAAAGAGAAAAAGCATTTCATCAATCCTTTTACGCAAAAAGTTGTATTTTCAACCTGACATCATTATTAAAAGATATTACTCATTATCTTACTTTAGCCATCTTTCATGGATAGACAATACATTCGTGAATGCATTTTGTTTTATGCCAATTATATTTTAGCTGTTTTCAATAAAAAGAATGTGTCACATGCATATATTCAACCCAGAAATATGTCACTATTTAATTTGAACACAGAAAGGGTACCACCCTTCTGAGTACTACAGAATATAAATCACATGGAAATCAGAAAAATTTCTCCCAAGTTTAAAATAGTAATTGCTGGTCTTTTTCATGGATATTTATTGTAAGACCACCACAGGAATTATAGTAATCAGCCAGACTTGTTCAGCTGTTATAGCATTAAGTTTCATCATTGGTTTCACACATGGTGACCATAGAAGCAAATTTCAATTTCATTGTTGTCATCTCAACAATGTAGTGGCTTTTTAAAATCAAATGCTGACCATCCATGACAAAATCAAATTACCTCAGTGCAGATATCTTGTTCACTTTTCAATCAATGTACATCTGACAGTAAAGTTCATATCCAAGACTCATGTTGCACTCTTGACCAGGGAAAATCTTGAATATTAAAGAACACATGATTAAATAAAATTGCATTTTCAACTATCTTAATTATTGTCTAGTTTTTGTCAGGCATTCTATGGTTACTTCATCCCTCTATATAAATATGCTATATTTATTCAAAGCCCACCACAGGAATTTATATGGTGACCACATAGTGAGAGCATAGAAGCAAAGTTCACTTAGCAATCTAACAAAATTGTGACTGCCTGACGATTTTCATGAAGATCCTAGTTGCAGCAAATTCCCCCTTATACTAAATAACAAAATATATATCTGGGCGGTTGATATATATTACAAGGTCACTACAAGAATTTCAGCTGCAAGGCTAATATAAATTTTGAAGGAACAATCAAATTACCTCTGCAAAAATCTTGTTCACTTCCAATTTTCCTCTGACAGTAAAGTCCATATCCACAGCAGCTAATGTGGCTGGTTGCACTCTTGACCAAGGAAAATCTTGAATATATAAAGAAGTTATTATTAAGACAAAATTCCATTTTCAACTATCTTAATTATTGTCTAGTTTTTCGTCAGGTATTCTATGGTTACTTCATCCCTCTATATATAACTATGGTTGCTATATTTATTCAAAGACCAGCACAGGAATTTATTACTGGTGACACATAGTGAGTATAGAAGCAAAGTTCACTTTATAATCTTAACAAAATTGTGACTGCCTGATGATTTTCATGAAGATCCTAGTTGCAGCAAATTCCCTGTTATACTAAATAACAAAATATATATCTGGGCGGTTGATATATATTACAAGTCACTACAAGAATTTCAGCTGCAAGGCTAATATAAATTTTGAACGAACAATCAAATTACCTCTGCAAAAATCTTGTTCACTTCCAATTTTCCTCTGACAGTAAAGTCCATATCCACAGCAGCTAATGTGGCTGGTTGCACTCTTGACTCAAGAAAATCTTGAATATATAAAGAATTATTATTAAGACAAAATTCCATTTTCAACTATCTTAATTATTGTCTAGTTTTTCGTCAGGTATTCTATGGTTACTTCATCCCTCTATATATAACTATGGTTGCTATATTTATTCAAAGACCAGCACAGGAATTTATTACTGGTGACACATAGTGAGTATAGAAGCAAAGCTCACTTTATAATCTTAACAAAATTGTGACTGCCTGACGATTTTCATGAAAAAGATCGTAGTTGCAGCAAATTCCCCCTTATAATAAATAAAAAAATATATATCCGGGCAGTTGATATGTATTACAAAGTCACTACAAGAATTTCAGCTGCAAGGCTAATATAAATTTTGAAGGAACAATCGAATTACCTCTGTGCAGAAATCTTGTTCACTTCCAATGTTCATTTGAAAGTAAAGTTCATATCCACAGTTAATGTTGCACTCTTGTCCAAGAAAAATCTTGAATATAAAAAGACATTATTAATATAAAATTCCATTTTCAACTATCTTAATTACTGTCTAGTTTTTGGTCAGGTAATCTATGGTTACTTCATCCTTCTATATATAACTATGGTTGCTATATTTACTTCAAGACCACCACAGGAATTTATTACTGGTGACACATAGTGAGTATAGAAGCAAAGTTCACTTAGCAATCTTAACCAAATTGTGACCGCACTGACAATTTTCATGAAAAAGATCCTAGTTGCAGCAAATTCCCTCTTATACTATTGAAATAACAAAATACATACCAGGCAGTTGATATGTATTACAAGGTAGTGACAAGATTTCAGCTGCAAGGCTAATATAAATTTAGAAGAAACAATCGAATTACCTCTGTGCAGAAATCTTGTTCACTTCCAATGTTGACCAAGGAAAATCTTTAATATAATAAGACATTATTAATATAAAATTGCATTTATAACTACCTTAATTATTGTCTAGTTTTAGCAGAAGGCACACAAACAGTAAAGTAAAATACTTAACTTTGACCAGACAGCACAACAATCTTGCTCAGAAAGGTCCGCGAACGGTCCACGTGTATAGTTTTCTTCGGCATCGCCATTTTGAATTCGGCCGGGCGAGTCTTGAACTGATTTCTATTTCAACTGTTCTCTTGACGTTCGTCTTGATAACTAGCTGTTGAGATAAACGTTAATGACAAAATCTTCAGTTCTGCTTCAGTCTATGGGTACGAAAATTGCTCAAGACATAAATTTTCAGTAAAAAATTATCATCATTGCAGGCAAAATTAATCTCGAAACTTTAGATAACCTTGTACGCAGAATATTTCATATTGTATATGGTTTTTGTTATTTCTGACCGACAATTAGCAGAAGGCACACAAACATCAAAGTAAAATACTTAACTTTGACCAGACAGCACAACAATCTTGCTCAGAAAGGTCCGCGAACGGTCCACGTGTATGGGATCGCCATTTTGAATTCGGCGGCGGCGAGTCTTGAACTGATTTCTATTTTCTATTTCAACTGTTCTCTTGACGTTCGTCTTGATAACTGGCTGTTGAGATAAACGTTAATGACAAAATGTTCAGTTCTGCTTCAGTCTATAGGTGCGGAAGTTGCTCATGACATAAATTTTCAGTAAAAAATTATCATCATTGCAGGCAGAATTAAGTTCGAAATTTTAGATAACCTTGTACGCAGAATATTTCATATTGTATATGGCTTTTTGTCATTTCTGGCCAACAATTAGCCGAAGGCACACAAACATCAAAGTAAAATACTTAACTTTGACCAGACAGCACAACAATCTTGCCCAGAAAGGTCTGCGAACGGTCCAGGTGGATGGTTTTCTTTGGCATCGCCATTTTGAATTTGGCCGGGCGAGTCTTCGCATTCATCTTGACAACTAGCTGTTCAGATAAACCTATATACAACGAAAAAAAAGGGTTCGGCTCAGCTACACTGTACTCCTTAAGGAAGGCCTACGGCCTTCCCGTAGATTAGTGTAAAGGCCTACAAGTGGGAACTAGCAGCGTGCGGGGGACCAAAACGCTCTAGGCAAACGGTCCCCCTACTGGGGTCGGACAAAGCAACCGCAGATTACGCATATAATCGCCGGAACCCACCTTTTAGTCAACGGCGAACTCCTTCTTCTTCGAACAATCTTCAATCTTGCTGAGCTTCGATCTTGCTGTCCACCTTCGATCGCCACCAATCTAAAGAAATTTTTTTTTAACGTTGAGATTAGTTTCATAGGCAATAATTACCATGTGATCTTAGCAGATCACGTGGTATGATAATGTACGACAACATGCCGATCAACTCCGAACATCATCGTGAGCGATGTTACTATAAACGAATCACTAAACGCCTAGAAAAAAGTTGTCCTTTCCTATATTTCAACCTTTTAAAAGCAGTGCATTCTAGTTTTGTTTTGAAGCACAATTTGTTTTTTGCTTCTAGTTTTTTGGTTTCGTTTTAAAAGGTGAATTGTCTCTGTGTGCCGAATTCTTTGTATTTCTGATGTCAAACAATCCTGTTCTTTTTGGTATCATAAATATAAGCTCCTTTGTTTTGGAGACATACAACAGTTTTTTTTATATTTTAGCCAAAACATATAGCAGCAATTACAGATTCACTAAGTTCATTCTCATCTTGATTCACAAATTTTTAAAGGACTTGAATCGATTCCATGCGGTCTACAATAGCTGGGCGAACGTCTTACACCTAAAGTCAGTCAAAGATTGTTGTATCTCAATTCTTCAGCTTCAGTGGTTCTTTAGACTTAGCAATAGTTTATTTCCCTTTCTTATCATTGCATTCCAGTTTAAAATTATAGTTTATATTGTATTTCCAGGCATTTATTCCATATTTCCCTTTCTTATCATTGCATTCCGGTTTCAATTTATAGTTTATATTGTCAGACAATAATTGTCTTTCCAGGCATTTATTCCACTACATATCTCCAATATTGTAAAAGTGGTTCTTTAACCTCAGATCAAAACATTGGCAAAAACAATCTGAAACACAAAATATTAACATCAGACTCTGATAAAACAACATTGAATCAACGTTTAAACAATTCTACTTCCCCTCATTCTAAGGCTACTAAATGGTGCTGACCCCTCTTATATATCAAACTACATGCATCAACCTGCCTTGGCAAAAACAAAAACGGGCTTTAAAGAGTTAGTTTTCCATTTCTTTTCTTAGCACTTAATCGAATGTTTCAAAATACAAACTAATTTGGCAACACAGGTCCCACAATTATGTCAAACACCGAATACATGGTCTGAAATAATTCGCCATTCCTCTCGCCTCTCGACTGAAGGCGGATTTTTTAATAAAATTAAACCACAAATCTTTCTTAAAACTACTGCACCCTTACTGAAGTGTTCGGTTGGGGCATGGAATGTTAAAATAAAACAAAAACAACACACTATTAAAAAAAGTACGAAAATTTAATAAAATGGCGGCTTACTGCCTTACCTCGTGGTTTTCAAATCGCCTTACACTTCATTTCTCGCTGGACTTTTAATCTAACAAAGCAGAAAAAATGAACGTCATTTACGTGAAATAAATGCTTTGGCATAACAAACATTCTTACTCTAAAACGTTGAACTAATGCAAAAGAAATCGACCGAAAAAATATTCAGAAAATTCCAACATTCGATGCGCGAGGACGAAGTCATATTAAAAAAGGCAGCAAACAAAAACATACGCTTATAAGATAATATATCTAGATACTTATAATCGGAATATCTTTTTCTCAACAAGCTTCACTTCATTAAAATAACTTTATAGTTTCTCTTTAAAACATAGAAAATTAAAAAATTTCCGGGCTTTCCTTCCTTCGCCTTTCTTCTCCGAAATCTATCCTCGTTACCCGGTTTTTCGCGTACTGGGCGTGCCGAATGCCCCCCCTGATTTGTGCACAATTTACCGTACAATTTTATATTATTGATACTGCATGTCTAAATTCTAAAACGATCAATATTTTCAATACATTCAATATTTTTCAGGTAATTAGTTATTGTATTTAAAATTAATTGTGATAATGATTTATTTGATTCTTTCTCCATGTAAATAATCATGAGAACAAGCATAGGCATAGAGTATGGGGGGCTGAGGGGCTCGGCCCCCCCAAGAAATCTTACTGGGGGGCCTCAGCCCCCCTAAAAATTTGCCAAAAAGTAATAATTGCATCAGAGCAATGTTGAATCTTTCAAAAAAGATCTTTATATACACATGAAACGGTATTGTTATAGTTGATATTATAATATATCGAGCAACTCGGAAAAGCAATTGCGAAATACAGAATTTTCAAGCTGTAAATCATAAAATACATGGCAGCTTGTAAAATCATAAAATACATGGCAGCTTGTTCATTTTATCTTTCATTAGCTTTTCTACCCACAACAGGTCAAAATCATTGGTAAATATTTTCTCCACCTATCGGCCATATGAACCATGACTACCGATGCAACTATATATCAAGAGGAAATTTATTCTATTTAATTTTATCTAATGTCAGAAAGTGTTGCTAGCTAGATATCATGTATCTAAAGTTTAAGCCCCCCAGAAGAAAACAAAACTCTAAACCTATGAGAACAAGTTTCAAAATTCATGTTTGTAAATTCATAAATCCTTGCTCTTTGCACAAAATTCCTCAGTCAGCACTTTTTTATTGCTAAGACTCCCAGTGCAATCAATTACTCAGGCTTTTTGGAAACCTGGAAGGATGGCCACAAAATAAATTTGGAATTTCCCACAATTTGCATAACCATCCAGAGCTCCCATTTTCATCATATAATACCAATAAAGATACAGTACAGATATCAGATATACAGAGACAAAAGAGTACAGAGATCAACTGAAGCACTAACATATTGTACATGATCCAATAAACATCTGGGCTTTTAAGTCTAGGTCATTAATTTTTTTTCATTTTTATTTTGAAAATATAAAAATCTTTCATGACATATTGCAAGTCAAGTGCTCTGAGTGAAAACTTGTAGAAATTTCAATTGCTATAGTTACCCAGAACAAACACACCCAATGGTGGAAATAAACGATTTTTGCAAACAAGGATAACAAACTAGGTTTTAACGCTATGACAGCATTAGTTTTTATTTAGTTCTAAATACTTTTGCCTCCAAGCTGAACCTCAAATAAATAAAACTTTTCCAAAACATTTTACAGGCTATATATTAAAACTTCTATGATCTATCTAAAATAAACAGTCCCTATTTTACGTAGACTGAATGGTTCACGTCCCAGCCAATTGTCTTTAGAATAAACCATGAGAATTTTATCAAGTTACCTTTATTATTTTTCGAATTATCGTGCACGAAAGTAAGGGGAATGACAATTTTAGCTTGCTAAGAAAAACTAAAAAAGTTTTTCATTAATTATACAGAACAATGAAACAAGCTAATCGACTCCTTAAATTTTTAAAACAGGGTAAATCTACATTTTCAATGACCAACACCACCTTAATGAAATCTGCCAATTCTAGAGAGAGCATTTAATAGAGAGAGGCATTTATATCATTAGCACCACCATATTTTGAAGAAGTGAAAATACCACTAAGACTAAATATCAATAATTTGTGATGCCATTCTAATACATACAGCATCAAGTGTTAGTTAATGCAGTTTGTGCATGTAAACTTAAAAAGTCTCCCATGTGTTTCAAAGTCGCAATTTAGGGCATGTGCCTATTGCAAAAATTTCCTCATTGTCAAAGTTTGTGCAAACTGTTTGTGAATGTTTCCAAAACAAAACAATTAAATTACAAATTAAAATTGAACATTATAACCAAGACACTCTGAAACACACAACCACACTAGGGACATTAAACATTACTGGGACGATTAAGTTCAAAATGGAAAACAAAATCATCTATTTATTGAACAACTGAGCTGAAATATTTTGATGTAAATAGTTTAATTGTCAATGGAAGTACATATTTAATGCGTAAGATGCAGGTTCATTCATTCACAAGATCTGTTAGAGTACTTTTAAACTTGGGTTATCCACCGTTTAAGCTAAAAGCCTTTCGAACAACCGGCCCCTGGTGTTTTGATTCGGAGAGGCATTTATTAGACACAGATGCCTAATGCAAACATATGTTGAAGGAGTAGTTTCAGACGTTTATAGATAGAGACCGTTCATTGCATCATTTATGAGTGCAATCAAATCGAGTCCGTAAAATGCTGTAATACTATGACACAAGTTACTCAATATTCAATAACCTATCAAGCTCATTTGGAATATACAAAGGAAAAGGAAAGCCCAAACGAAAATCATATTTGATTATATTTATGTAAGAAACTCACCGTAAAATGACTGAAGTAGGTTTTCAAGAGGGACTTTGTTATCCACCATGTTACAAATGAATTTGTTTGGATGCTTCCTTCTAAAAATGCAATATATACCAACTGCAGTTAATCCATACATCTTTAGCAACACTTGTTCAGTTCTAGGCAGACAATTTTTGATGCACAATTTCTAAAATTAATAAATATACCTTGTTATTCTGTGAGCTGATAAAAGCCTGATCTCATTTACAATCTATAAGATATCAAAAGTTGAAAAGTTTTACTCATTTGTAAAAGTTATAAGTAATCAGATGATAAAAGGCGAACATGCAGAAGGTGGGTTAATAGTTCACATATTCCACACAATATTTGTCCATTACTAGCTGGTAGTCATCACAGTAAACCATCAATTATGAGTAAAAGCAATCAGCTGTAATCGTTCCACATGTTAAATTCCACTTATTCGAATTCGAATAAGCTTTATATCGCTTAAGATTACACTTAAAGAATAAAGCAAGAGACGGGAATATTTTCAATACCTTTCCGAGCTTGTAGCGCCAACAATTTACGATCTTTTTGCAAGCAAAAACATTTCTTGATTGACCACCATATTGAATAGATCGAGAGAGAAGCTCGTCGTGAACTGCGCATGTGTTAGGTTCAGCATAAATTATTACATCATAGATACGATTACGTAAACTTCATTTGCATATATCGTAGCTAGAGATTTGCCAGGCGGAAAACGGATTCTTATTATAAATATGAGAGCCCAACATATAACCTTAAAGAAAGTCATCATTACTTTTAAACTTCAATTGTTTTGATGGCTTTCTTAAATGTTATATGTTGGGCTCTCATGTTTATAATAAGATTCATTTGCATATATTGATTAGACTGATCATAAATTAAAAAGGAAGACAAAAGAGGTTGCTACCACAACCCGGGGGCACTTTGGGGAGAAAAAAAACCCCCGCCGCGCCCCATTGAGGTAGCAGAGAGGAGAGTTTTTAGAAAGATCCCGAAGGATCTCCAACGATACCGCCATAGGCAGCACCGAGAGAAGACAGTCACATAATTCTATTTATTCAAATTAACTATATACTTATTTAAAAGAATTCTAAATAAAACTAGATCAAAATTAACTATTCTAATCACCATGCATTTTCCAATGGGCTGTTTAAACTCTTCGAATGTCATAATGATTGTTGTTCTTCCTAATTTTTATAGAAAAGGAGTACTTCGCACGTAAAGTTAAAGTTTAAGAAACTTTAAAAAACCTCTGCAATCTTAACATTTAGTCCAAAATCGTCTACCACTTCAAGTTCTTTTCCATAGAAAGGTGATCTAGATCCCCTTACACTCGCATGTACCGATCTTAGAATTTCGAAAGAGATTCTGGTTCTCAACCAAGCTATGAAAACTGCATAACGTTCATGGTCTCTTGCTGCTAATTTCTGCGCCAGCTGAGTAAGAAACTTGTGGCATTCAGACCCCATTCCACCATTGGTTCCAAGAACAAGTGGGGTAAAGGAGCCCATTTCAACATCTAAAACTCTCTGTTGGTATTTTCTCTTCTTTTCGTTCTCGTGTTCCTTAAAAGTGTTCTGGGTAGGGCGGCTTGGTTACATCGGGAGTTTACATGCGTTACTCTTACGTCAAAAAATGCTTCGGGACTTACATTGGCCGATCTTAAGTCAAATCTCTCATTATCAAGGGGTTGAAGATGAGGCTCAATTTCCACATTCTTACACACTTTATCCAGTTGCGCTGTTAGCAAATTACGGATTCCATCGTGCCTTTGTGCCACGAACCCACCTTTTTTACAAGAGAGGGAATGATTGATGTTAAAGCGATCTCCACACGCACAATGACTTGGTAAATCGTTCAAAGTTAAATTGTATCTCATTCGTAACGAGTCTCTGAATTCTTGCTTATTGAGGGCTAGACCTTGATCTTTGAGTGTAATCGCATTTAGCCAGGAACTCGCTCCTTTGTCTCGGGATTGCTTTACCAAGAACAGTAGGTCTGGAGAAAGTGTTGCATCAATGTTATCCATTCTTGACTTAATAATTTCCGCTTTGTTTGCTTGCTGCATTCGCTTCAGATCATCTATAGACTGCTCCATCGGTTCCAGAGCCTCACTCTGCCGTTTAATTGAATTTACATGTTGATTAGTAAATAATTTTGAGGCTGCATATTGCAAAGGAGCTTCTATTCTCAAATTCGGTACGCCTAATCCCCCTTGAGCTGGCGTTAGGGTCACAAGTTCACGAAGCTCACTCGCAAGGGGTTCTTCTTGACCAAAAAATTGTGGTACGAGAATGTCATTCAATGTTTCATGTATCGTTTCTACGTACTCTTCGAAGGCCTCAATTGTTCGCATGAAGTAGGTAAATTTTGATTTGTATGCTTTCGTAAGGGCAATGTAGGCTGCATGAGGCTGGCTTTTCGCGATTTCCGTGAGTGATGAGATATCCTGTACCCATCCTTGAATTTTTTCTTTACAATACTCATCTTTATATTCTTTTGATCCTATAACAGCACCCAAATGGCGTTTTCTTTCTGTTGTAATTTTAACTTCTTCTCCAAAGATCTGCTCTGCTTCTTTGGCCAGTTCTTGCGTCTTCACTATCAGCCAACACTCTGGACCATTTACTAGATAGCCGTATTTCTTTCCTTCCTCTTCCAAATGCTTATACCAATTATATAAATGTGTCAATCTTCCTCCTCCCGCTGAGTCATCGGCCAGCAATACTTGTTTGATTTCTGGTATGTTCAATCTGAAACTTTGAATCATTATAGCTGTGTTGATTGAGTACCAGGACATAGCTAGAGGATCCGCTTGGGTGGTACCTTCTTGCGACAAAATCTCACCTCCCCCACATATGAATAGCCTGGAGGGGCATCTGTAGGTGTTAATGATGTATATGGACATTCTGTTGCAGGTTATTCGAAGATTGTGCATTGCTACCGCTGTATTCATCTGGTTAAAAGCATTGGTCGCATCAATTAATAGGATTCCATCAGTCCCTTCTTCCTCAAAAACATGGCTCATGGCATGTATTGCTGCCTCGGCCCCAGCACTGTATCCTGCACAAACTTGCAATGGCCCTGCTGCTTCCCTTATCTCCGCTCTCAAGAATGAAGTTACTGTGTTACCGATTATTCTACGCAGCACTTCCCCCACTCCAATTGGTCGAATTCCAGGATGTTTTTCTAGTGGAATTAGCCTACAGGATGTGTAGCTTTCTAACAGGGATGGATGGTAGCATAATTTCAAGAGATTTTTGGTCATCGTTGATATTTCTTCTCTTAAGATCTTAGCTTCGTTACTGAAATTCTTTGAAATTTTCTGCGTCCATACCAGACGGTCGCTGAGCTCTTAGTTTTAAAAGCTGCGTCATAAATCATCTGCTCATTGATGAGGTCAAAAATATTGGACGCCATTCGATTTACGGGACCATTTAGAAGGCATTAGTCCTCTACATCACTAGCTGCCGGGTGTTTCTCTTACAAAGCTTCAAAAGTTTCCGGCGAACGATCTAGTAAACCCGGGGAGCTTTCTTTATCCAGGAATTTAATCGCCGCGGATGGTTTTCCTTGCATTACCAATCTGGCGAAAACTCTGGAGATATCATTTACTGTAGAGGGTTTTCTTGATGATAAGAATCGATCTTGCATAAATCTCACTTCTTTCATGAGTAGATTCAAGTCCCCTTGCTTTCATAATGTTAATCTTTGTTTTATCGCTGTGCTGTGTTCTTTTGCTCTTTGATGTTGCCAAGTGCTTTTGGAGAATCAAAGATGGAAGCACCATAAAGGCTTTTAATGCAATCGAATTGAGATCAGAATTGGAATTAAATTGCTTTAGCCAATAAGTCAACTCTGCAATGAAATCTTTACCCGCTCTGCCGGAGGGTATATTAAAAATGTTCTTTCTAAAATGGACGATTTCGTCATAGATTTTACTAATCTGATCGCATAAACTTTGTTGACTAATAGAAGCCCACATTTTTTCTCTGATTTCAGACGCCATAACATCCAATTCAGGTAGATCAGGGTTGGTACGTTTCTGAATAAATAAGCAAAACATTGTTATTGGCGGCACTTTGATTCCTTTGTTTTTAACAAAGAAAACAAATGTTATGTTAATAAATTTGGCTTATTTATTCATAAAATCTACCAACCCTGAGGTAGATTTGGCTTATTATTTGCATTTCCTGTGTCATTAGATTTTGGTTCCAGTGGTGTCACAGGGGAACGATTTGGAATGCGAACTTTATTGTGCTCTATGCTAATTTCCGTTGTATGGCTTGGTTCCAATTCCATCAGTCCCAGAGGGGATTTGTAAAGCGCATTCTCCGTGTCCATGCAAATTTCTGCAGCTTTACCGTTGCAGAGGCGTGACTGCAGTTTCCCCTTTGCTTTCTCAAAATTTATTTTCGCATGTCTTAATTTCTCAACATTTGAACTATCTATTAGAATTGCTTGCTGTGCGAGGTGTTGAAAAGCGACGGTACCCGACTCGTTCTCCATACAGCTTGATTTCATTTTGAGCTTAGAGCATTTACGAAGCTTACATATGTGATGACTTGTCTTTATATTCCAACAACAATTACACTTGCCACAATTTATTTTCCTCAGGCACGGTTTGCAGCTACCACATTTTCTCCTTCTTTTCTTAACAACATCTTGCTCTAAATCGACAATATTCCGATCAAGGTTCACACTCCTTTTGCCTCGCTATCGCATCTTGACCGCCAAAGCTTGTTCATGACTCTCAACGTTCATTTGATCAAGACCTTCTACATTCGTCGTAATGTTCAGCCAAATGACAAGGATTTTGGTTGATATTTTTTGAAATCGCAGAGCCCAAATTTTCATGACCGTCCGCCATGACGGTCTGTTGCACCAAGAGAAGTGACCACAAAAAAGAAGGGTCAAGAAAGGAAGATGACAACCGAAAACCCTCAGAAGAGAAGAGCACACAACAGCACAACATCTCATTAAAAATGTCTAGTATATATGGTCTAGTATATATGTGACATAGCTCAGCGTGTTGATTGTGGGAGTATTCCACATGCGCACTGAAATCTTAACCATGACAATATTAGTTCACTGCGACTGCGTGGCATTTTTGCTATTCTATTTGCGTTTGATCATTTGGCATTTGCAATAGCATTTAGATTTGTTCAAAAAAAAGCAAAGTGAAAAAATTTCATAAAGCCTTGGACATAATTAAGCCCTTTTTTCAAGCAGCTAATTATTGAAAGTTTCCAACAGTAACACGAAATTCTCCCTCGAAACCCAATAAAAAATAATCTTTTCTTTTGAGTGGTGACCAGTTGCTACACTATTGTGGTTACCCTGCGACTATCCGCCTTTCGATACTAAGTGGTGTTTTTTATTTTACTTAAATCTTTTTTCAAAAGGCTTTTGAAAAACATTACGTCCATCATTCGAACCACTACCCAAATAAACATGAGAACACCAAATTCTTTGTCGAAATCCAACAAAAAAGGGGTAAGTCTATTTTGAAGAATTTTTTAACCGTTCAAAAACTGTCTTAAACTGCTGAAAATGGCTTCGTAAGACTAATATCTTTCATTTTAGAGCATATTTGGTTGCTTTTTGGAACATTGAAAAGGTCGTCAATTTTGAGTAAAATGGTAAGGCTTACCCCTTACAATTTTGGTCAATTTTGACAAGTTTTTGAGTTTGAGATGGGTGAGCACGCTTTGATTATGATGTCAATTATTTATATAACAAAACCATGTTTTGGTTAAGGTGGGAAAATGTTGGGAAAATGTTGGGGAAATGTTGGGGAGATGTTGGGGAGATGTTGGGGAGATGTTAGGGAGATGTTGTGAAAATGTTGGGAAAATGTTGGGAAAATGTTGGGAAAATGTTGGGAAAATATGGGAAAAAGTTTGGAAAAAGTTTGGAAAAAGTTTGGAAAAAGTTTGGAAAAAGTTTGGAAAAAGTTGGGGAAAAGTTGGGGAAAAGTTGGGGAAAAGTTGGGGAAATACTTGTGTAAAGGTTGGGAAGATATTGGAAGAAAGTGAGAAAACTTTTGGAAAAAGTGGGGAAAAATATTGGGAGAATTGAGGGGAAATTTTGGAGGAAATTGAGAAAGGAAGGAAAGGGGAGAGGAAGGAGGGAAGAGGGAGGGAAGGAGAAGAGAGGAAGAAGAAAGAGGAGAAGGAAGAGTAGGAGAAAGAGGGGAAGAAAGAAGAGGAGAGGAGAGAGGAGAAGGGGGAAGGAAGGGAAGGGAGGGAGAGAGGAGGAGAGAAGGGAGAGAGAAAGGGGGAGGGGAGAGAGGAAAGAGGGGAGGAAGGAGGGGAAAGAGAGGGAAGGGAGGAAGAGAGAGAAGGAGAAGAAAAGGGGGGGGAAAGGAAGGGAAGAAAAAGAAAAGGGGGGAAAAAAAAGGGAAGGGGAAGAAGAAAAAAGGGGAAAAAGGGAGAAAAAAAGAGGAGAGAAGAAAGGGGGAAAAGAAAAGGGAGAAGAAAAAGAGAGGAAAGAAAGGGGAGGGGAGGGAAGGAAAGGAAAAGGGAAGGAGAGAAGCAGAGGGGAAGAGACAAAAGGAAGGAAAAGGGGGGGGAGAAAGAAAAGGAGAGAAGAGGAGGAAAAAAGAAAGAGAAAAGGAAAAGGGGGAGGAGAAGAGGGGAAGAAAGAAGGAGAGGAAAGGGGAAGAGAAGGAGAGGGGGAGAGAAAGAAGGAAAAGGGAGAGGAAGGAGAAGGAGAGGGGAAGAAAAAGAGGGAAAGGAAAGGAGAAGGAAGGGAGAAGGAAGGAGGAAGGAAAGGAAAAGAAAGGGGAGAAGAGGGAAGAGAAGGGGGGAAGAGAGGAGAAAGGAAGGAAAAAAAGGAGGGGGGGAAAGAAGAGAAAGAGGAGAGAGGGAAAAGAAAGGGAGGAGGAAAAAAGGGGGGAAGAAAAAAAGGAGGAGGAGAAAAGGGAGGGAGGGGAAAAAAAGAAAGGGAGGGGAAAAAAAGAAAGGAGGGGGAGGAGAAGAAAAAAAGGAGGAGAAAAAAAAAGGGGGGGAGAAAAAAGAGAAGGGGGGGGGAGAAAAGAGGGGAGGAGAAAAGAGAAAAAAGGGGAGGAAAAAAAAAAGAGGGAGGAGGAAAAAAACAGGGGAGAAAAAAAAGGGAGGAGAAAAACAAGGGGGAGAAAAAAAAGAAGAGGAAAAAAAAGGGGGAAAAAGAAAGGGGAGGAGAGAAAAAAAAGGGGAGGAGAAAAAGAAGAGGAGAGGAAGGGGAGGGGAAAGGGAAAAGGAGGGGGAAGGGGAGGGGAAGAGGAGGGAAAGGGGGAAAGGGAGGAGGAGGGAAAGGAAAGAGGAGGGAAGGGAGAAAGGGAAGGAGAGGGAAAGGGAAGAAGAGGGAAGGGGAGGAAGGAAAAGGAAAGGGGAAGAGGAGAGAAAAGGGAAGAGGGGGGAAGGGGAGAGGGAAAGAAGGGGAGAGAAAAGGAGAGGGAGGAAGGAAGGGAGGGGGGAAGGGAGGGAAAGGAGGGGAGAGGAGAGAAAAAAGGAAAAAAAAGGGAGGGGAAAGAAAGAGAAGGAAAAGGGAGGAGGAAAAAGGGGAGAAAGAAGGGAGAAAAAAAGGGGAGAAAGAAGGGGGAGAAAAAAAGGGGGAGAGAAAAAAGGGGGGAAAAAAAGGGGGAAAAAAAAGGAGGGAAAAAGAGAGGGAAAAAAGGGGGAAAAAAGGAGGGAAAAAAAGGGGGAAAAAAGGGGGGAAGGAGGAGGAAGAAAAGGAGAGGAAAAGAGAAGAAGGGGGAGAAGAAGGGGGGAAAAAGCAGAGAAAAAGAGGGGGAAAGAGGGGGGGGGGAAAGGGAGAGAGAGAAGAGAGGAGGAAAAAAAAGGGAAGAAAGAGAGGGAAAGAGAAGAGAGAAAAAAGAAGGGGAGAGAAAAAAGGAAAGAAAAAGGGGGGGGAGGAAAGAGGGGGAGAAAAAAGGGGAGAGAGAGAAAAGGAAAGGGAAAAAAAAGAGAGGGGAAAAAAAGAGGAAAAGGGAAAGAAGAAAAAAAGGGAAAAAAGGGAAAAAGGGAGAGGGAGGAAGAAAAAAAGGGAAGGGGGAGAGGAGAGAAGGGAGGAAGGAGGGAGGGGAAAAAGGAGAGAAGGGAAGGAGGAAAAGGAAAGGAAGAGAAAGGGGGAGGGAAAAGAAGAGGGAGAGGGAGAGAGGAAAAACAAAAAAGGGGAAAAAAGGGAAGGGAAAAAAGAAAAGGAGAGGGGAGGGAAAAGGAGGGAAGGGGAAAAGGGGAGGGGGAGGGAAAGGAGAGAAGAGGGAAGGAAGAAAAGAGAAGAGGAAGGGAAAGGAAGGAAAAGGGAAGAGGGAAAAGGGAAGGAGAAGAAAAGAAAAGAAAAGGGAAGGGAGAAAAGGAAAGGAAAGGGGAAGAGGAGAGAGAAGGGAAGAGGGGGGAAGAGAGGGAAAGGAGGGGAGAGGAAAGGAGAGGGAGGAAGGAAGGGAAGGGGAGAAGGGAGGGAGAGGAAGGGAGAGGAGAGAGGAAGGAAAAAGAAGGGAGGGAAAGGAAGGGAGAGGAGAGAGGAAGGAAAAAAAGGGAGGGGAAGGAAAGGGAAGGAAAAGGGAGGAGGAAAAAGGGGAGAAAGAAGGGGAGGAAAAAAAGGGAAAAAGAAAGGGGAAAAAAAAGGGGAAAAAAAAGGGGAAAAAAAAGGGGAGGAAAAAAGGAAGAAAAAAAAGGGAGAAAAAAAAAAGGGAGAGGGAGAAAAAAAGGGGGAGAAAAAAGGAGGGAAAAAAAGGGGGGGGGGGGGGAAAAAAAGGGGGGAAAAAAACAGGGGAGAAAAAAGAGAAAAAGAAGAGAAAAAAGGGGGGAAGAGAGGGGGGGGAGAGGGGGAGAGGGGAGGGAAGAGGGGGAGAGGAAGGGAGAGGGGGGAGGAGAAGCAGGAAAAACGAGAGAAGAGAGGAGGAGAGAAAATTACGGGTCTCAGAGGCGAAAAACGGTCAGCCTTAGGGTTGGGGTTTGCCATGGGGTCAAGGGTATGCCATAGGGTTGGTTTTATTTCTTTTTTGATTTTTGGGAGTTTAAAAGGTTTTCTAGGAACATGAAGGGTTGTTTTAGGCTTCAAAAAATATTTTCTTAATTTTAAACATTTTTTCAGATTTGTTCGAGCAAATTAAAATTTTAGATTTTTTTAGGGTAGGGGTTAGGGTTAGGGTTGGTAAAAGCTAAAAATTAAATTACGATTTTAGACGTTTAAAAAGTTTTCTAGGGACATGAAGGGTAGTTTTAGGATAAATATAATATTCTTTTTATTTTAAAAATTTTTTCAGATTTTTTTGAGGCATTTAAAATTTTGGATTTCTTTTAGGGTTAGGGTTAGGGTTAGGGTTAGGGTTTAGAGTTTTAGAGGCTTTTCGGGTGAAGGAAATATCACAAAACTAAGCAAGGAATGTTGAAACGGAGTTACACTAATCACGAAGTAAACTCACGAAATCATACTCCATGCTTGCGTGACCATTTCATTCTTGAACAATATATAGATAGATGGTATTATCATTACTGCAAGACCTATGGGTGCAAACTGACTTGTCCGTAGCACCGCACGTCAGCCTTGGCAGCGAGATAAAGACCAAATAATTAGCAGAACATATAATCAAAATTCGAACACAAAAGTAACTTATATATTACACTAAACTTAAAAGGTTTTAAAAACCATCAACGGATTTGATGTATCCTAAGAAACCTCGCTTCATCGATGTATATAAACTCGCTTTTCGCTTAAATCTACCCATACTAAATTGAAACTTCAGTTGTATACCACGCTCGTTTCTAAACCAAACGATAGGTCCCGTGTTAATTATAGAAATACAAATCCAAACGCAACGCAACGCAAAACCAAACACGATGTATAAAGTCGCGAGAATGCGATACAGAAAAAATTATGCATAAAAGCCGCGTCGTAGATTTGATGTATCTTAAGAATCCTCGCTTCAAATCAAAAAGAAACGGAAATCGAAACACAACGCAACGCAAAAACACAACGCAACGCAACGCAAAACCAAACGCAATGTATAATTAAATGCAATACAGAAAAAAATTAATGATTACCTGATCGGGACCGAATGCATGGAATAACGTTCAATCCGCTGGTGTCCGCACTGGGAAAAGGTAAAATCGCACGTTAGAAACATACAGTTGTGAAACCTTGCTACTGTTAATAACACCTAATCCCAAAAATATTGTTTTAAACTTCATTAATCTTACAATTGGCACTGGGTATGCCAGGGCGATCCAGGATGGATCGATCATCAATGCCGAATTGAATACGTAAAAATTATCATCATTACCTGAGGGATTCGATAATGTTTGCCTGGTCCGTAGGCTGCCACTCGAGCCAATATTGTTTTAACTGAATAAGCTGAAAAAACAAGGGCGATGTTTGTTAGTTCGGAAAGACCTTTGAAATTTGATATGCCGGCGTTACAGGACACCACAGAGACTGGTGTTTAAGAAGTTTCAACCCAGAATTGTGCATTTCTGTACCGCAATCAAAGAGAAACCTTTTGAATATCTTAAAAACGTTCAATTTCTCTTCTGAATACGCATTCTGCAACCTTTTGACAGCTCATACACATATGACCGCTATGAAATGGCTATTTTGACGCTTAAGTATACAAAATGTTATTAATTCAGACGATTCGTTTTTACCGTGTGCAAGCTTCAAATCTTTTGTGCAAGGCATATTTTCTTGAATATCATAAATATTTTTCTCACCAAGTTTGAAGTCTAAGTATTGAGAATTGCGGCTAAGTCTATACCAATTTCCGCGGTCGCGTTACACAGGCATAACAATGACACTCTTGATACCTGAAGGATGGATGACAGACTGAAGTCTCACGGTTTTGGGAAGAAAATTTTTCTATTATTCAACAACTAAAGATGTTCAGTGTCCAACACCCGAGGAGGTTTATTCCGACTTTATTCACAAACAGGGCTAACACATATTGATTTGGACAATTTTAAGGCAAGATGAAAAATGAATTTACGTTTCTCTCCTTTTTTTGCGCAATTAATTAATCACCGATATTCCATGATATTATAGGTTATAACGTGCAGTCTTGGCAGAGGAATACGCTTAAATAAGAAACGTCGGAAAAACCAGAAACGATTCTACAATGTCGCTCCAAAGCGCAAAAAACTACGACCAGAAGAACATGACTTTGATTCCAATGAACCGCAAGAGGGAGAAAAGCGTTACTAGACATGAGAGAACGAATTGTTAGCACAAATCTAGAACATCAAGGGTCGATGCAAAAACGCAATGACAGTTTCAGCCTTGCGAGAGAAACAAAAATGCAACCATCGAGCAGAAAAACAAATGTTGAGATTCTAAGGTGTAAAGGCCTTTATAAGAAGTTTCCTATGAGAAGTTTGAAAAGTTCATCTCA